AGATGAGTTTTCAGCAAAAAGTAGAGTGATGAATAAAGTGTTTTGAGAGATATGAAATGAAGATCTCCGTGAGAACAGACTGTGGCGTCTTGCAGCTTTGATGCTGTCCTCTCCCCGTCTTAATTTTGGTTCCTTTGAATAGAATAGAAGAGGAGGCTCTGTGCTTTAGATCTATGCCTGCACAGACGGGAGAGGGAATTAGAAAGTAATACGTGTTTGTGTGAAAAAAACGTTGTTGACTTCTATAGATTCTCGAGATAGGAAACTTGTGGTAATGGAATCTGAAAGAGATCGATGTTGAAGCATCTATACACACTTGAGGATGCGGAAGACCGCCTCTCTTGTATGTTCGTGAGCAAACCGAACCCAAAGGGACGGGGCCCGGCCACTAGCCGATTGAACCCTCCCATCACACCGTTCCCCCTTTTTCCTCGATATGGCTTTCTTTGATCCGGAACAGCAACCCTGATCAGAGACAAAAACAACAAGAACAGAACCCCCCTCCCCCAAAGGAGGAAAGATGATGGATCAATGGGGCAATGGGGGGGCCCACCACAAGCAGCTGGAACAGTGAAAAAAAGACGGGAAAGAAACCGTCACAACAGAAATCCAGACCACACTTCCTCGCACGCATTACTCCACCAGAGCGACCCGACCGACTGGGACCCGAAGTCAAACGAGGAGGAGGGGGGCTGCGGCAGGGCGACTAATACGTCAGGCGAGACACGACTGCTTTGTCCGTTGACGGCCAGAGTTTGCCATCCTGGGTAAGGTCAGGCGAGGTTGTAAGCGGCGTTTACTTTCTCCTGAGAGGGCTTGGGAAGAGCAAGCCCCCCTACCCAGACTGCCGGTTCTCTCTCGCTTTCTCCCTCTCTCTCTCTCGCTCTCTATTCGGACTTACAAGTCCAGGTGGTTTTGGTGTGCCGACTCTCTTTATCTGCTCGATACGCCTAAAATCCAGTATGAGACATGGCGGAGGGCGGGGAGGAAGAGGGTCGGGTGAGTGACAGCTCGACAGGGGGTGGAGGAGCGAGACACAGCGACGGAAAGGATACAAGGTGGTGGGCTCGCGCTTCTCGTTGCGTATGAAATGTCTGAGAAATTCCAGTCCGGCCGGCCTAGAAACGAGTCGCGTGCCGGCCGCAACAAGAAGCCAGCTCCGCCCGCCCCGAATATGGAGGTTCCGAGACAAGATCCGCCCATTCCACTCCGTTTTCCCTCCTCGCCATGCTTCCTCTACCCTCCTACACATTGACTTACCCTCAATTACAATTCTTACTCTTAGCACAGTCCCTCGCCTGGCCAAAGACCGGTAAATCGGACAGCCGTGCTTTCAGCGGTTTGCGGACGGAGCTTGGATTTGTGAAGGGGGGCTGAGCAGTCGGTTCCGTGGTGTCCCGGACGACTACTAGACAAAGAAGTCAACGTACAATAGCCTTGTCCAAGGTTTAGACAGACACAAACACGAAAACACTGTGCTCGACCCTAAAAAAACCATGTCAATGACAAATTTCCTTCAAAGAGACACCCGTCCCCCCTCCAAAATAGCCTTACAACCCGTCTTTTTGATCATTCGAAGAGTGGTCTGTAGAGGTAAAGCATCAATTTTACCTGCTGATACTGAACAAAAAAAATAACATCAATGCCGAATTATCTCTCCTGGACTACGCGTCTGACGTGCAACCTCACGCCACGGCCTCGTTTCACAGTCCCAGGCCGTCGTCGACAAGCCTTTCAGCTCCTAAAGCCACTTGAGCTTGGCAATGTGGTCCGTCTTCTTCCTGCTCATCTTGACAAAGCCGAGTGCTTTTAGCTCCGCCAGGCCCCGGTAAAAGGACACCAGCGCCCCCCGCTCATCGGCGTTCCCTTCGCTCTCCGTATCGCCGGCAACCATGGCGTAGAAGGCGGCCCATAGATCTGCGACGTTGATGAGGTTACCCGTCTCCAAATACAAATGGTAGAGCAGCGACGTGACGGGCATCGTCGTGGAGATGCCCTCGTCGGTGCTGCAGCACGAACACGCGAGGTAGTCTTGCGGTCGCTTCAGGCTCCGCTCAAAGACATCCTGGGGCCGAGGTACGAAAACGTCGCGGTACGGTGTCTTGGAATCGTAGAGCCATGTCTCGTGCAGGAAAATCTCTGCGGCCGGTTCGCAGTGTGTGACGTCTTGGAATACTTCCGCGACACGGTCCACGATTTTGGTAAAAGCTTTATCGTCTTCGGAAAGGGCTGCCGAATCGTGGCTGAGCTGCACCTTTTGCGCAACAACGGTGGTGCGAAGGACCCGGCTGTGGCCACTGTAGGCGCTCCGCAAAGTGCTGCCGTCCTCTTTCGCCCTGCCGAGAAGCTCCTTTGAGTCGCGGAGAAGGCTTTCTACAAGAGAAGGGAGGTCCCCGGCCTCGGACTCCCATCCGGTGAGACACAGCTGGGCATCTCCGCTGGCCACGGCGTCTTGAACACGTTGCAGCATCGAGACAAAATCATCCGGTTGCATCCGCTTGATGCTTTCAACAATGTCCCAGCCATCGGACGAAGGGGAAGTTCCCTCGGCCACCGCCTTCATGTACATTGAGGAAAAGTCATCTTGAACGAGACCCGTTGCCTGGATGAGCTTGAGCGAGCGGAGAAGGCGGGTGACCCATTCCCGTTTTTTCTCTGGAATGTCGAAAACCTTTTCGCGCAACAGGTCATCATCCTCCAACAAAGACCTCGCTAATCTCAGATCCTTCGCTTCAACGGCCTTCTCAACCTCGCGCCGAAATGAAGGAAGCGACCGGATTGACTCGATATGTACGTCCTGGACAAGTTCGCTGTTCATTTCATCGTCCTCCACAGCAAAGACGCTCAACGGATTTGCATAAAAGTGACACATATATGCGTACTATGAATGTCAGCCCGGCCGCTACAGCATTCATTTGGAAGCCTTACCTTAATTGATGCGATAAAAGACTGAATGCTGGCGACCTGGTCTTGCTGTCTTTCCACGAAACTATGCAACAAATTCTCTCCCAAAGTCAGAGCAGCATCCGATCCCGCAATAGTCGGCTTGAAGATCTGTTCCAAAATCGCGCTTGTTTGGACGACATCGAACTGAGCACCGTAAAGATGTTGGCACGCGGATTTGAGTAATCGCGCTTGCAACAATTCTACTGATGTTGCGATGCCAAATAAAAGTGTGAATGGGATCTTGGGCCTCCATGAGCTAATTTCAAAACGTCAGTATGCTTCAGAAGTCTGCTGTGATAGCAACTTACTTGAAGAGGATGATGAGATCGGAGAGAAGAGCGCTGTCAAATCCTTCGCTATCCTGGAAAGAGACAAAAATGTGATCACATTTCTGCGCCGTTGAGAATGCGTACAGACCCTCGAGGTCGTAGTTGAGATACTTCCGGCCCTGATGTTTGTGAGCTTGATATTGCATTCTTCAAGCTGAAGGAAAGTAAACCCACATCTTGTCCGGATGCAATTTCGACATCATCGTCATCCAGAGATCCCCGAGACGTGGCATCCTCAATGATCTTCTTGAGAGCAGCCTTCAAATTGGACGCTTCCGATGACTTGAGCCTGACAAACTTGCTTCGCGTATTCCCCTCAAGCGTTTCGGATAACTGTTCGAACAGCAGGTCTTGAGATGAGATGTTTGGGCCGGTGATGATAAAAGCAGTCGGGATTTTGCTCCTGTGGTGCCGTCAGTCGTGCAAGTCAACCCCACGCCGTTCTCACTCACTGTGAACCAGACTGGTCACGAATGAAAGCAGTCACTTGATCTAGAGTGGCCGAGTTGGCATCACGCAGTTTTTCCTACCAGATTTCGTGCTCAGCGTAAGATTCTAGTAATTGGGCATAATGCTCTACCTACCTGGGCTTTGGACTCAAGATGGTCCCAGCTCGTTTGGAATTGCTTCTCGCGGAGCGCTACGCACTCGGGAAGCTCTTCGCCGTTCAATAAAGGCACAAACGAGGACGAGGTTGCGATATTCGCCTTTTCGACGACAGCCTTGTTGGACAAACGGCGACGTTTGGCGGGTCGATCCACTCCAGCTTCCTCACCAGGAGGCCGGAAGATGAAGGCGGCCTGTAGACGGAGATCAGCATCAATTACACATGTGAGAAGCAGAACCACTGACCTGGTGATCTTCCTGCCTAAATTGGGGTTCTTGGTCATCTTCAACACTCATTTTGTGGGTTGACATAGGCGGTTGGCGGTGAGAAGATATGTCGTTGAAATGGAGGTCGCGCTTTTCTGACTGGCACGCGTCGCCAACATCTTCAAAGCACGGACTTACACAGTGTCGCAGACGTGGAGCACTGCACTTTACCCCTTAGCAACGCTGGTGTGCACAGTGTGTAGAGGCTTGGGATACCTTTATCCCCGTGGTGACAATATCACGGACATAGCACATTTAGATGCCTAGGAATTGGCAGATAAGTGCGTCGGGACGCAAGCACGTCTTTCAAGGCGTTTTCCATATAAATGACATTAAATCAATCCTCCAAGGCCGTGTTGAACTAGTGACTACCAGTCTCCTCGCCCTCCTAACATCGCAAACCCTTGACCTGAGGCGAGCTTCATTCTACCTCAAAAACTTTAGGCCATTGCCATCCTACACCTGCCTCATCATAACCCAAACAAGCGGTCGCCGCAGGCAATGCGAGCATCCGTGGATGCCAACACTGTCCTTTCTGAGCTGGATTCCTCTCCCTTGGGGGCGCCTTCACCCCTTTGTACAATGAACCCGCTTCACTGGACGAAGACGATGCATGCCGTCTGAGATCAGCACTGCCGCAGTTGCTTGTCGTCTAACGATTCCCAGCTGCACGGCTTAGAAACACGGGAACAAGTAATTTTACACCGAAACCAAGTTGAGATCGCTTTGCGATTCGAGAGAAACCGTATACGCCAGGAAACGCAAGAGCCCAGGCTCAAATGGCCCGAGACGCCCACAGTCGGCTGGGCCTTGTCTTCACTTTCAAGATTTTTGGGAACGTGAACGGGTTCCCTAAGACTTAACCTCATCCGTTTCCGGGGCCGCAGATGCCTCCTACGAATTTGGTTAGCTCATCTCAGCATGTTCATGAGACACTGTTACTCACCTTCTCACTGGGCTCTTCAGCGGGCTTCTCGGCCTTTTCGGGCTTTTCTTCTGCCTTTTCAGGCTCCTCGGACTTCTTCGCACTTGCCTCCTTTTCGGTCTGCTTCTCAGAATCCTCGGACTTTTCAGCTTCCTTGCTTTCCTCTTTAGCACCGTTAGGAGTGGCAGAAGTCTCCTTCTTCTCCTCAGTCTTTCCGGAGGTGCCATTGACACCATTGGTGGGAGCCGGAGTTGCGGACGCAGCAGCGGCATCACCACCACTGAGAATCTTGGTCCACTTGTCAAGGAGCGTCTGCGAACGACTCTTGAAGTTGAATTCCTCCTCTTTGGGGATGGAATCAAGCTTGAGAATAGCCTTGAGGACCTTGTTGATCTTGGTCGCCCGAATGATCGAGACCTCAAGATCTGGGAAGCTCTCAAGCTTAGTAATGTAGTCTGACATCATCTTCATCTCTTCCTCCTTCGGCTCTTGGTCTCTGGTAAGCAAGCCCTTCTGAAGTTTGTGGCGCAAGAAGAGAACCTCCTTCTGTAGTCCGTGTTAGCATCTAGGCTGGGAGCCGTGTCATGATCTTAACTTGCCTCCTTGCGTTGGTGCTTCTCTTCAGCGGTGAGCTCAGGCTCCTTAGGAACTTCCTTCTCCGCCTTCTTCTCAGCACCCTCCTTCTTGGCCGCTTTGGACTTCGCAGGCTTAGCGGCTGACTCTTTAGCCGACTTTGGTGTAGCTGTCCCGTTTGTCGTCTTAGGAGTGGAGGATGTGTTCAGCTTGATCTTAGGCTTCTTGGCAGAATCAGTCCGTGCCGGGGTCTGTAGGAAGTAAGCTTTAGGACGAATCCTATTACGTCTCCAGTAACTTACGCTAATGGCTTCTTCGTCCGCCTTTCTCTTCTTGGACTTGGTCTTCTCCTTAGGTTCGGGGACCTCCTCCTCCTCGTCCGCAGCATCAGCCATGTCGACATCATCGTCCGAAATGACCGCAGGAGTCTTCTTCTTGTTCTTCTTTGCGGCCTCTCTGGCATCCTTGGCGGCCTGCTTCTGAGCTACTTCATCTTGGTATTTCTGAAGCTCGTCCTTGTAGTAATCAAGGGGGTGTTGCTCGATGGCGAGCTCGAAGGCATCGCGCAACTCGACCTTCTTGACTTTGTCGGTGAGGAGCTCGGTCGCCTTTTCGGAGTTCAGCTCTTGGAGAGCAGAGTTTGGTACCCAACCGCTGGAAACCACGAGTTAGCATCGAACGTCTTGTGGTCGGGTTGGGAGCTTGTATCATCAATTGACTTACAATTCGTTCGTCCGGAGGTACATGACGGGGAATGTGCGGTCATTTTGACGCTTGCCACCATCAGCAAAGTCTTCGCGATACGTGCCGTCGGCACGCTTCGCGGTGACGGGACGGCTCTTGAGCAGGGTCTCGGGGAGCATTTCCTCGTCGCAGACAATGACGGGCCATTGAGGGTATCCCTTGAGCTTGACGAGGAAGTGATCGCCGGGTTGCGCATTGGTGTTGAAGAACTTCGCCTTCGATGCCTTCTTGCTAAGCTTTTTGCCCTTGTGTTCCGGAATACCGGACGATCTCCGACGCGACTTGGACTTATCAGCTGTCGCATCAGCGGCGTCAGCGTCAGCAGCAGGCGCTTGCTCAGCATCATTGGCAACGGCATCAGATGTCTCTTTCGCCTCAGCTCCATCTGTCACGTCCTTCATCTCGACGTCCTCGTCCTTGGATTGTTCGTCTGTCTTGCCGGATGATTCCGCGTCTTTGGTCTCAGCTGCTGTCAAGCAATGCGTCAGCAAGATGGTCAATTGAGTATGCAAGTGCTGATATCAAGGTTAAGTGGCGACGGAGAAGGGACTTACAATCCTTGTTTTTGGAGTCGTCCTTCTGCGCATCCTCGGTGGTCTCCTTGGCAGCTGCCTCAGACTCAGATGGTTTCGCGTCGCTGGCAGCAGTCGCGGGCGCCTCAGAAGCTTCAGCAGCAGGCGAGGTTCCTTCAACCTTCTTCTCCACCTCCTCAGTCGCGGCAGGCGCGGATTGACCGCTGGTGGTCGGCTCGTCAGACATGGTCGGTGATGTGGCGATAGCTTGGAAGCTGGGTTGCAAGGGTATGGATGGGGTAAATAGGCAAGTCGCGACGCCAAAGACTAATGGCGATGGGTCAAAGGAAGAAACACGCGTCGTGATACGCGCGGTTCGTGATTTTTTGTTGTCGCGACGATGGTAGAAGATAATCTGGCTGCAGGAAGGATGATGGGCGCGATTGGGAGCTCCCCGTGTTGTGGTAGCAGAAAAAGGCAATGGCCTGGAAAAAGATGAACGCAGAAACTCTTGGAGTTGGACGCGGATGACGGCGGAGACACGTGACTAGCGCTGATCCACCAAGGGACGAGTTAAATCGCGGAGTCTCAGTTGCGCGACGCCTGTGAGAGGGAACGTGGACGTGGCCCGGTCAATGCCCAGCCCACCGAACGTTCGCTGCCTCGACTCAGCCACGCTTCCTTCACTTCAATATCACTTTGACCCCTGTCGAACGCCTCCGGCAGAGATACACCGCGATCAGGTTACATTGCCTCTTGTGGTTTATTGAAGAAAAAGAAATCAAGATGCGTCGTTGACTTTAGTTGCGCCTTTCCCACTTGAGATAGGTTATCAATCACCGTTGTTCAGCGTTCCTATGCCACCTTGGCCGCTGAGGCACCACCGCAACTGCTGTCGCACCGCACACTGTCTGCGCAACCGGTCTTCAGGCCATTCAACCCTGTCGAAAGAGGACAAGAGCCGCCTGTAGATGGTTTCTGATAAGGGCGAAGAACTGAATGTGACCAAGTCTGTCTATTACCCTCAACTCCTCTCTCGATCGATATAGTACACATTGCGATATTGTACGGACGAGATGGTTCTGCCATCTGCCGAGCCGTCTATTCCTCGTCCTCTTCCTCATCGCTGTCGTCCACGTCCATACCCTCCGCAGCCGTGATGGAAAATTCGCGCTCTTGATCCACTCCGACGTAACTGTCGCTCATTAGGAACAGCTTAAGGTCGTGCTTACCAGCTGTTGGCACCGTAAACTCCACCTTCACCTTCAGCTCCCGTCCGATCGTGACACGCTTAATGGCAAGCAAGTTCTTCGTCGTCTGCTCCCCTACAACAAGCCACCAGTTCTCCAACTTCTTGGCTGGGTAGAACGGTGCGTGCACAGTCGGGTCAAACTCCTCATCCTCCTCCACTTGTCGTTGGATCTGCACACTAAGGTACGCAGGCTCGTTGGCTCTGATATCGTCCTCATCCAAGACACTGTGTTCAAGCTCAATGTCGGGGTATTTGTCATTGGTGAAGGCGGCAGCCTCACCCAACTGCTTCTGCGAGAGACCAAGACGCTTGACCAATTTGGCGTAATCCGGGTTCTCTTCGGGGTTCATGGCTTCCATGAAATCGAAGATATCCTTGACACTGTGAGATAATTCGACGTTAGTTTTGCAAATCAGCACTGCATAAATTGGTACATACCCAAATTCGTTTGCCACCTTCACAACCTCAGGTGTAAAGTGAGGAATCTGCTTCAAGGGGCTATCGCGATCCCACATCGCCTGCACAACCATCTGCGACATTTCCATGGCGTTCATGGCGTTGATGTGGCCATCAGATGAGAGAATATCAACCGTTGCACTCAGGAGACTGAGAACCTTGGAAATGATGACTTCTTGGTCCTTGGCCAAATCAATCGGCAGCTGCATTCGCGAGAAATGCGCCTGCAGGAGGACAAAGGCCTTGAAATGGGCCGAATCATACACAGGCTCTGCCATCTTGACAGGAATACGGTCGTAGATCCTGCGGAGAATGCCCTCCTCGTGCCTCCTGATCTGGATAGCTTCGAATTCAGTAGCCGATGTGATAATTTCCAAAACGCCCTTGAGTTTGGTCTTGGCGCTCAGAGACAAGAGGAACGTCTGCATAGTGATGTAGGAGATGTTGTAGTATGCTGCAATCATGGCCGCGTTCTGCGGCGCAACGGAGCCATCGTCCTCGTCAAGCTCAATGATCTTGGAGTCGCTCAGCTCTTGCAGGGTGGTCTGGATGAGATCCGACATGTAGTCGCTGAGACCATCCTGCGTAGTGCTGGTCAAGCTGTAGAAGCTGGGGTTGGCCAGGAGACGCCTGTAGAAGTAGGTGAACGTCGTCCAGTTGATGGCATCATCACCAGACTCGATCATCTTCGTGCTGATCTCGGTGACAAAGGCATCGTGAAGGTAGTTGTGGAGATGTGACTCGACAGGGAGAGCCTCATTCAAAAACTTCTTGTAGAATTCTCTCTTGGCTGACGGAAGCATAAGAACGCCCCGGCCTCTGCCGTCCTTGGAAGGTCGGAGTGCCTTGCCGAACATGTGCAAGACTTCGCTTAGGGAGTAATCGACATAGCGATGCTCGCGACCCTCGAAATATTGCGTGCCCATGACGATGACGAGGTGGGCAGTGCTGTTGAGCTCCCAGCAAACGTCACGAGAAGCAACAAGCACCTGAATAGCTCCATGCTCGTACAGGTGCTTGACGATACGCTTGTCGCTCTGACTCAAAGCCTCGTGGTAGTATCCCACGCCGTGAGAAAGAGACTCGGCGAGTGCTTCTTCGGAAATGCGATCAAGAAGAGGGCGCATCTGCTCCACCTCAGCGTGCAGGAAACGGTCTTCGTCATCATCCATGAAGGCGGCTGTCAGCAGATCACGCGTGGTCGCTCGTGTTTGCTTCCGACTCGGAACAAACACAATAGCGGGTTTGTCAGCGGACATCTGCGTGATGGCCAAGTAAGTCGGCTTCGCCATAGACAGCATCAGTGAAGGGAAGTGAGGGTTGGTGTAAGATTGGATGTGAAGTTCGAGGGGTACAGGGCGGACGTGCGGGCTGAAGTTGTAGATATCGTGCTTCTTCGCGTCGATCCACTCGCCGAGGTCGCGGGCGTTGGCAAGGGAAACACCAAGCGCGATAATTCTCATTGGAAGCTCAGTCTGGGTTCGGATGTAGTGCATTCGCGAAATGATGATTTCGTAGACATATCCCATGTTGTTTCCGAGCAGATGAACCTCATCTGCAATGAAAAGCTCGACAGTGGAAACGTTCTTCCTGCGCTTCCACTGGCGGGACAATACATCCCATTGGATGGGAGTCGCAAGAATCAGGTCGCTACGCTCCAGAATCTTCAAGTCGGTAGTGGTTTCTCCCGTGAGCTTCTCGATAGTCTTTCCACCCCGGAGACCGCCAAGCCTCTTCTGCCAGTCATCAAGGCGTGAGTCGATCAGCTCCTGGAAGGGTGCGATGTAGACTACACGTCCAGCGTCTGCCTTAGACCAGTGTCGCAGTAGAGAAAACTCTGCGCATACCGTCTTGCCACTTCCCGTCGGCGCACCCACGAACACATTCTGATCGGTGTTGTACAGCGAGTTGAAAGTTTGCGTCTGGATGCGGTTGAAGTGGTCCCAGTCAGGGTACAATTTGGCATACTCTTTGGCCTTCAGCGCCGCAACAGGCAAAGGCTGAAGCTCAAGGAGCTCAGTGTGGGGAGGAAACCTCTCGGGAAGAATCAGCTTGTGGAATGATACTGGCAATCTTGTTTCGGAATGCATCCAGCGATCAGACACAACTGAGATGAAGTAGTTCGGGGGCATTGGCTCTGTGATCGGCACGGTGAAGTCGACAATGTGCTCGTTCGACTCAGACTCGGCGTACTCCTTGCGCAGCAAGAATTGGTCACTGAAGAGGATATCCTCTCCATCACAATCCTCGACGAAGATCCAGAAACTTTCCGCTGGGCCGTGGATTTCGACATCCCACTCAAAGTTGGGAGCGATGCTCAACTCGACTCGAAGCATGGATCTCGTGGGTGGCTGAACTTGAGCCTGAACCTCCACTCTGGGGAACTTGGCAACCAAGCCACAGACAGTTCTGCCGGCCTTGGGCATGCCAAGCAATTCTCCCATTCGAGGAGGGTCGAGGTCGAAGTAGTTGCTCCAAGACACTTCGATTCTCTCCGACTTCTGCACAATGTCTCTAGGGCAGTTGGGGAACTGACGAAGTGGTGACATGGTTGGCCACATGCGCTTCTCTGCCATCTTGCAAAGATCCAAGGCGGTCTTGGCCACAGACGCCCATCCCTTCTTCATGGTAATTTCGAAGATGGCGCGGAGAATACGACCAGCGGATTGAGTGACGTAGACCATATCAGCCATAAGGGCTAGACCGTCCAACTTAAGTCGTGAGATGTAGGCTTGCAGCAACACGTTGATCTTCGCGTGAGGCTCCTCGATGCTCTCCTTAACTGGGATCGGAACTCTGCCCAACAACTTGGCAAGCTCAAGCTTTTCATCCTGACGCACGGGGATGTACTTGAACTCTGCACTCAGAGAGAATACTCTGAACAGCTCAATGGTTGTGATTGAGGGTTGGATCAGGTTGTTGTAAGTCTCCATAGAGCCATGTGTGATGTAGTAGTGGGAAGCGATACGCCCCAACTCCGTTGACTGGAGCTTGCCGGTCTTCTCATCGTATTTGATAAGATTTGACTTCCTTAGTACTGAAGCAGCAGAATGAATCAAATCAACTCGTTTTTGTTCCAAAGCCTCATCATCTTCGTATTCCGCGCCAACTTGGTAGAGGCCGGGCGAACGTAGCATACGAACGAACAAGTAGGTGTAGCCAAGCCATTCGACACCCTCGTCTCTACTGCGGACGTTGCCGAGCACAATCTCGGCGTTCAAGTTGTCCACGAGCTTACTGACGAATTGACTCTCGATTGGTAATTGTTGATTGAGGAGCGACAAGTAGTACTGGATCTCGTTCTGGGTTGTGATGATGATGCCCTCGCCATAGGTATCGTATTGTGGACGCCCGGCACGTCCAAGCATCTGCAGGACGTCTTGGGGGCTGAGCTCAACCCAGCTACCTTTCTCTGGAGAGTATACTGAAGTGCCTTTGATAATGACGGTATGCGCTGGCAGGTTGACACCCCAAGCAAGGGTCGCGGTACAGACAAGGACTTGAATAGCGCCACGGGCGAAAAGGTCCTCAACATCTGTACGATCGATGCGGTTCATACCAGCATGATGAATACCGAAACCGTAAGGAAGGATATCCTTGAGGTCCTTGTCGGTGGCTTGGCTGGCCGCTTCGTTGAGCACTTCGCGACTTCCTGCATCGTGACGAAGAATCTGATTGATAGTGTCCATCTCTAGAGCCTTATCACGAATGTAGCGCGCAGTCTTGGCAGTCTCCTTTCGTGAGTGGACGAAAATGAGCATCTGATTTCCCTTCGCTCCTACATGCTCAATGACCTTGTTGTATGTGACATCGTTCATGGTCTTCAGCTGCTTGATGGCCTTGCGATCCGTGACTCCAATGAATTCTTGGCGCAAGGGGCAAGGACGGAAACTGCCATCAAAGTGGAAGAGACCAGTGCTGATATCCACACGCAAGAAGCTAGCAACATCCTTGTAGTTTGGCAGTGTCGCAGACAAACCAACCAGACGGACGGGCTCGCCAGTCTGCTCAGTCTTCCTGATGGTTCTGCTGACGATGCTCTCCAGAACAGGACCACGGTCGTCGTGGAGCAAGTGGATCTCGTCGATGATAACCAAGCGCACTAGGTTTGTGTAAGAGAGATCGGTAGCCTTTCTCGTGATGACGTCCCACTTCTCAGGAGTAGTGACAATGATCTGGGTCTCGGCGATTTGAGCCTTGGTAAGCTGACGGTCACCAGTCAACTCAGAGACCTTGACACCATAGGGTTCAAGTCGCTTTCCAAAGTTGCCAACTTGTTCCTGTACCAACGCCTTCAAGGGCGCAATGTACACGATTTTGAAGTTATCCAGCTCGATGTCGCCAGTCTCAGGATTGCGGTTCTTGCCGATTTCTCGAAGAATTGTAAGCATTGCCACATTTGTCTTTCCACTACCAGTGGGTGCACAAATCAGCATGTTGCCATCGTCGCCAAAGGCTGTTGGGTAGCACTTTGACTGGATCTTGTTGAGGGATTTGGTGGTACCGAAGGGCAGGCGAGACCATTCTGGCATTTCGGTTATGGGAACGAGTGTGTCGCTGGCATCACTGCGCTTCTTGGGAGGGGGCACGTGGATTTCTTCGTATCCCTTGAAAGTTCGTTTTGTTGAGCCCTCCGGCAACCTGACCTTGGGGTTGCTCATGAGATGATTGCCCTGGTCGAAGACCAAGTTCTCCAGGTTGATGAGCTTGCGCGGTTGCAAACCACCCACCAATCCCTGGGGGCGCTCGTCTTCTGCGGGGGGAGCATTTGTGAGTGATGATGGGGCATCAAGGTCCATCTTGATTTCCATCTTCCGTCCTTTTTGGTCGTCGCCCTTCTTTCCAAACTTCTCATTAAGAATCCACTGCAGACCTTCGGAAGCCATTTCGCGCTCCACCACAGCTCGCTCTTCATCCGTCTCAGCCCTTGAATGACGAGTGAGCCAAACCACCTTCTCCCTGTTCTCAATAAGGAGTTGGACTAATTCGTGATGCTCGTAGTCGAAAAGCTCCATGAGGTCGTTCTCGATCTCTCGGAGTGACTTGTCCTCTCCGCCCTGCTCATCAGGTTCGCCGGAAAGAATGCGCAAAGCGTCGGTCGTCTTGTCGTGCTGTTCGTGGGAATCCGCATAGAGCTTTCCGATCTGTCGCTGCAGCCAAAATGCATCGATGTCTCGAGCAGAGACACTCTTTGCCTGCTTTGATTCCTGTGCTTGCTTCCGAGGGGCTGAATCGATGACCATGGCGTCGTCTTCCATGTCCATCGCATCGTTTGCGTCGGCGGCGGGTTCGTCCTCATCCTCGTCCGCTTCCTCGTCCTCGGAGGACTCTTCCCTGACTTCATTCACAATGCCTCCTTCCTCATCATCGGAATCTTCGAAAACGACTGCGACACCCTGTCTTTCGTCTAATTCGGCTCCGTCGGCGTCTTCTGCATTGTCGTCCATATCCTCGTCCTCGTCTTGCGCGTCGTAGTCTGTGACTTTCTTTCCGAGATTTACGAGCTCGTTGAATTCCTTCGCGCTCATTGAGACACCCAAAAGATCGTCAATTTCCCTCTTTTTCTCTGTGTCTTTCAAGTCGTCGTCCTTCAGGAACTCCAAAGTCACGTCGGCGGCGCTGATCACGGCAGTTTGGGGGACATCGCCAAGATTGTCAGAAACGATCTTCAGTATCAATTCGAACGTCGCCCGTGTTGCCGGTGTGCGCGGGCGGTATCGGATGCCCTCGACGAACAGGTCTCCAGTTCCCAGGACACCAGCACCTCTCGGCTGTGCCTTTTCGCCCTTCTTCTTCTTCTGCTCGCGAGCTAGCACGTCCTCACCCTCCTGTAAGCTACCGCGTTCCACGCCGGTAAGGCCAGTCGACTTCTTTTGTTTCGGTGCGATTTCGCGAGCGACGCGAGCTCCCATGTCGCGAATGCTCAGCTTTCCAGCGAGAGACTCGGGATCGCCCGTGGCCTCATCATTTCGTCTTGAAACAAAACGACGGTCCGCCTGGAGGACCAGGTTGGACATGGCCGAGTACTTATACTGGGATACATCGCGGTGTTGGTCTTGGTTCGACATTGTGGCGATGAATTGGAGGGTATCGTATTGTCTCGATTGCGCTCGATGATCGAATTGGTGCAGGAGCTTGTCGAGCGACAGCAGCGAGCGGCTCGCGCCGTGTCTTTATTCCGTTTATAACGCCGTGTTGACCTTAAAATTGATGATTCGTCAAATATTACAGTATCGTTTTGGTATGTTCCCGAAGTTCAAGTGACTCAATGAGAACAGTATCGCGATGTGGCTAAGGTGGGTGGAGGCGTGTAATAGATGTCTCGACGCCTGTCGCGCGAAACAAATTTCATCTGCTGGTTGCAATGGCAAAACCCGGGAGATGGCGCTAGGCGGCAAACGCGCTAGTAGCACTCCGGCTCAGGCAGATAGCTGCACGTGACGTCGTGGCGTCGACCTGTCACTGCATCGACACAGGGTGGAGTAGCGATACCCAAGAAATCCACACCACCCCTGAACCACCGAGCTGTGTAAATCACGGTACCAGTATCCATCAACATTAAACGTGAAGCAGGATTGAGGCCAAATTTTGATGTGGCGGAAACATCCTACCTTGGCACGACTGGAACATTCTCTATGGCATAAACTGAGGCTTTCTGCGACATGGATCCAGTTCCCAAATCCATTCAAAAGGTTCAGGCATCACTTGAACCTTACGTCAAACCACGGGAGCAGGTAGCGTACATCAGGCGCGCCTTGGCCCTTCATCTTCAGGCCTGCCGTCAACCAGGGCCCATTCAGGAGCCATTATCTCTCGTTGATGCTTCTTGCAGAGTGAGGCCAACAAGCGAGGTCAGAGGCTTACAGAAGGAATACCTCAAAGCCTTGAATGCGAACCTCAAGGCTCGCAATGAGTACGAGATCACGCGGGATGCAGCGGTAACGGCAGCCCCATCCCGGCCCAAGGCTGCCGACCCTGGGGATCAGATTGAGCAACATGTGGCCCTTGTCAAATTACGCCAGAAGCAACAGCGACTGTTGACGATTCAAAAGTACTTGGACCTTTTGGGACGCCAGCCCGCAGCATCACCAGACTTTCTCGACCTGGAAGATATTTTCAGAAAGTCAATGTCCTTGCCAGAAGTTCCAAAAGAGGTTGTGAACGGCTTTTCTGTTAGCGCCAGTGCAACGAAGACAAACCTAGGAGGTCTAGCTGATCAGCTCGAAAAAGTCGTACTGAGAGCCAAGCTTCTGCTTCAGCGTGAAGAGCAACTCCTTAACGGTGTTCGACAAAACACAGCATCACTGGCAGGCCAAGTTAGCGACGAGGCCAAGGCACATGCTCTGGATGCTACTCGAGCTGAATTGATCAACTGGATTGAGACGGAGCTCAGTAAGGCCTCGGGAGAAGCAGACGACCAGGCAAATGGATACAACGGCCATACCGAACAAGCCACTATCGACGAGCATCTGGGCGATATCAAGAGCAAATACAGCATATATGTCGCTTCGAGGAAAGCGCTGCTCAACATCGTCTCAGAGCAGACGCAACCAGTCCTGAAGCCTGGCGGTGACGTCTCATCTTCAAACGGCCGAAGCCAGCCCATCCCCCCAGCACCCACTGTGCACCTTCTCTTACCTTACCTCGAGAAGCTTCTCTCGCTTTCTCGAGAACAGAAGGGGATGATCACACAAAAATCGCACATCCACAATGTTCTAGCTAAGCAGGCGAGGGAAACTCGACAGGCGCTGGATCATCTCGCTGAAGAAAGTCAGCTTCTTCCGGGACATCCTATGCCTGGGGCGGGCAGACCCAAGTCAGGATTCGGAGAGGACTTCTCCACAGCCATGGCTGAGAAGCCAGTGCCTTCAGACCGAGTCAAGCCCTGGGTGTTCGCAGCAGACTCGGCCAAGATTGCGACGTTGGAGACTGTTGCGGAGAAGATTGAGGAGGGCCAGGTCGCACTGGAAGGCTCTACAACGGCGCTTCAGGAAATTGACAAGCTCCTAGGTTACGAGCCGAAACAGGCCGAGATGGAGGCGGGAGACACGACGGAGGAAGACATATGGTTGACGCAAGGGTCAGAACATAAGACGGGGACGAGGCAGCACATCAGACACCAGAGTAAGGGATCCACGATTACGCATGACGATATTTGGTCTGTCATTGATGGGAAGCTCGGTCTCATCGGTCATGAAGATCATATTTGATTTTCTGTGCAGTTGTTACATACCCCTCATAGATGGATTTTGTTTGCCATTATCAACGCCTCTAATTTGCCAACCCGGACGCCGCCTAGTGTTGACCAAGCCCATGACCCAATATGAGTACTGATCAGTTGCCACGACCGCTCATAACCCCCGATATCCTCAAGGCCAAATCGAGGATAGACAAGTGCTCATCCGCGCCATCCACAAGTCTTTTGTCGACCTCGGAAAAGATGAGAACAATCTTGTTCTTCTGTACATCTGGGATAGTCTCGTCAAATACGAGTGCTTGGTAGAGCTGGAAAACTGTTAGCAACGCGACGAGCAGTCAAATATTGGGGGGTAGCTCACCTGAGTAACAACCTGCCCAGCACTCCAGCCATCTGCCACCATGTCCTCGACCACCTTGGCCACCCCTGCGTACGTGTCTGCAGCGCCTTGCGGGCGGATGGCAGAGACTAATGTTTCGATGGTCTTGTCCGGAATGACACCAGCGATATCTTCAATAATCTTCACCGTGACGGGCTTTTTGTCGACGTCCATAGCATCACCCCCGGCGGCGTCTTTCTCGCCCGCGCCCACTAGTCGCGCAGCACTCTGCAGGAATGTGATAGCCTTTCTCAGATCGCCCTCACTGCACTTGATGAGGGCGTCCACTGCGCCTTCCTCCAGCTGTACGCCCTCATTTTCTGAGATATCCTCCAGTCTCTTCTTCGTGTTGGTCTGGTCTAAGCTCTTGAAGCGAAACTTGCTGCAACGACTTGCAAGGGGGTCGATGATTCGCGTGACGTAATTGCAAATCAGGCAGAACCGCGTGATTTTGCTGTATGTCTCCATGGTGCGGCGCAAGGCACTCTGTGCGTCTTGGGTCATGGAGTCGGCCTCGTCCAAGATGATAATCTTGAATGGCGGGCAAGGGTATCTCTTCTTGTATTCATTCGTCGGGTTCGTCAATTGCATGCGAGCAAAGTCCTTCACCTTCTCTCGGACGATGGAGATTCCACGCTCGTCGGAAGCGTTGAGCTCGAGCACGCGTGACTTGATCATCTCGGGACCGTAGAGTTCTTTGGCCAAAGCTAACACTGTAGAGGTTTTTCCTGTGCCTGGGGGGCCGTAGAATAACATGTGCGGCAACTGCGTCTCGGGGTTAGCAATGCCTCAATGCATCAGGGAGCAGTCGTACGTTGGAGGCTTGCAGCGTCCTCTGCAAAACCGTGACGGTGTGGTCTTGTGCTGTGACATCGCTGAGAGTCTTGGGACGGCTGTCGGTAAACGTCAGTATGGTGAATGAGAACGCGTACGACTTCTAGCAAGTTCGTGGGAAGACAAACTATTTCTCAACCCATGGCTGTGCTCGTGGCGGTTGCGCAGATTTCTCTGGCTTCTGGGTCGATGTGCCGTTTGCCGCGGCGGCCTTCCTGGCCTTGAGGTCGAAAAAGCTCGCCATGTGTAATTGATCGTTGTCTCAATTGGAGGTTTAACGTTGCAGGTCGTGATATCTTGTCCTGTTCTATCAATCGTAGCTCTTCTCTGCACCTCAGGTGTGTGGCGGTAGTGACGATCGTAGAAAATCAATTAAACTGTCAGACGCGCTGCCCAGTCGATTTGACGCGTATTGGAGCTTTCTTGACCGACAGGGGTGTAAACCCACCGCGTCGACGGAACCCCGCGACCGTCCCACTTTCGAGGTACCCTCGGAACCTTACATGAGATACGTACCGAAAGCTCTCCAGTCCGGGATAGGTACTCAGTGCAATGTTGAAACTATCTTACACTTGTCAATAAAGCGACCATAACATCACTTCTTTCACAGTGCTCTACTTCTGTTCATTGTGAGTTTGTCTTTAGTTCATTTCATTCAACGGCTCACTTTGTTCAATCAAAGAAAAACCGCCCATTGGCTGAGAATGTGAACAGTACGAAGGTTCAGATGGGCAAATGGGCGTAAAGGGTTCCTATACGAGAAGCAAGCTGGTCATCGCGTTCTCGTTTTCTCAAGCATGATTGTACGGTGGAAGGGGTATACTACTAATTCCTTAGAAACTGCTTGGGCCACACGTAAGATAATGATATCATAAGGGGGGAAGGAAGCACTATCCGATATGGAACCCGATGGCATCCGATGTAAGATTTCGAGTAAGACCTTACCCAGATGACTAGGACTCAGACCTGGTCAGAGGCGACCTTTGAACGGTTAGGAGCGGTAAGGGATCGTTTTGACAAGTATAGTGAACACCGCCTAAAGCAAGTGCCACACCTCGGCTACTGTCATCGATACTTCTCCAAGTAAAGCAGGCTCTGTTTAGTAGAGGTGATTGTGTGACATCAAGTATTTCATTCAGCCACATCTCATTCAAGGCTGAGGTAAGAAGATATCCTATGGGCATTTCTCCATTTTGTTGCTCCGTCGCATTTCTCAAATTTCGCGTCAATGAAAGCACCGCTTTACGCTGTGGGGCTTGAAAGGAGTTCTTAGTTGTGAAGTTCAAAGAGGCCTCTTCACCATACAATAACGCTGCGATTCACCTGCATCAACGCACCCTAAAATTACCCCTCCTGCCCCGCCAAACTGCCAGTTTAGGCACTTGGTGCAGCTGCCTCGTCCCAGTGTCCCATCAACTGGGGTGAGCCCTTACCGCCCAGAACTTGTACTTCTACCAGCCCGAGCAGCATTAAGGTAGCCTGTGGTAGTGCCTATCCACCTCCCTACCCTGGTTTTCGACCACCAACCAAGCAACCGACAACCAACAGAACCCACCTCAAGTTGCATCTGCCCGGTCGCAGAGAGCGCTTTACTGACCAGACATCTACCATTCTCCCAGGCTCTCAGGCCGCACTCACATCTTCGATTCTCCATCAACTACCTACCCCACGTCAAGGAGAATCTACGATCACTGCCTACAACCAAGCTTCTGCCAAAGCACGCTCACTGACTGTCAAGGGGCAGTGCCTGACCCAACTGGCATCATGGCGGATCAATCCATCATTCGGATTACCAAGGTACCTTAGCTGCCCCGCCCCTCACCAGAGCGATGAAGGAGGGGCAAGAATGGCAAGGCTGACATTTGATCGCACAACAGGAACTGGGCGACATCCAGCGAACCTCGGACCTTTGTACGAGCCTCCCCGCGAACACAGTCGAGCCCACATGCTGACCTCCTTGCCAGCTATAGCTGTTGCTTGTCGTGATGTCGATGTTCGCAATGTTAAGGCCTTGATCATCGGACCTCACGACACTCCGTACGAGTTTGGGTTCTTTGAGGTACCGATTTGATGTGAAAGTGCCCGATTTGCTCGCAGTACTAACGGGAAAGTAGTTTGCGATCAGATTCAACAAGGGTACACTTCTACTATAATGTGGCAATTATGGGTGGGTTGGACTGACGCAAATGTAGATTACCCTAGGAAGTCGCCCAATGTCAACGGTATTACAACGAACGGAGGTCGATGCCGATTCAACCCCAACATCTACTCGTCTGGCAAGGTTTGCTTGTAGGTTTACCTCCCGCAATGGAATATTCAGTAGCAAAGAGCACTAACGTGTGTTGCAGGTCCATCCTCGGGTATAGCCAGGCGCATGGGATTTGCCAAGGGACTTTTGACTAACAGGACCTAGCACATGGCGTGGAGAGCGTGGAGAGGAATGGTCTGCGGCACAGGGCCTCGAATCTATCCTCATTTCAATCCAGAGCTTAATGTCCGGAAACCCTTACGAGAACGAGCCTGGATTCGAGGAGGCCAACGAAGCATCGGATAAGAAGAACCAGAAGGACTACGTCCAGAAGGTGAATTGACTCGCTGGTGTGTGGGGATGATGAGAGACAATATAACTAATCATTGCTCTAGATACGTCACGAAACACTTCGAGTCGCCGTCATCCAGCGTATGGAGGAATACCTTGGTCTCACACCCGACGGCAACGCTATTGCCCAACAGTCTGCGGCGGACGGAGATCAACTGGATATCGACAACGATGATATCGACGATACGAACGTTCCTTTCGAGCCTTTTAAGGATTTATGTAAGCGCCGGTTCCTATGGTACTACGACAATTACCTCCTTGCTGTGCAGAAGGCAAAGACCGAGGTCAAGGACCACCAGGCGTTTGTTCGCATGCCGTTTGAAGGTGCTAGCAACACCATGGATGGCAAGTTCAACTACACAGAATTGGAAAGACGTCTGCGGAATGTCAAGGCCGCGCTTGACAATGAGCTCGTCAAGTGGGCGAAGGATGGCGAGGTTGCGATCGAAAAGGAAATGACACTTTCCGTCAACTTGCGCCACCAGTATGAACAAGTGGTGCAGGCATTCAAACGTCAAGACATTCCTCACGATGTCCAGTTGGAGGACAACAATCCTTTCGTTTGGATCATCACCTATTTCGGGCGTCCAATGACGAACCTCGACGGTGGCCTATTCCGCTTCAAAATCCACTTCAGTACTAAGTTCCCCGAGGAGCAACCTCGAGTCAAGTTTCACACACGCATTTTCCACCATCGCATTGCAGAAGACGGAACAGTGTGCTATTTCCCGAACTCACTTAGGAAGGAGGACGTTCGAACTCACATCGAGGCTGTTTTTACGGCACTGGAAGAAGAAGATCCGGCTTACGACCCTCGAACTTTGGTACACCCTGAGGCGCACACCCTCTACTGGGGAGGTGCCGAGGCGCGGAAGAACTACAACAGGCGGCTTCGTAGATCTGTGCAGCAGAGCATGGAGTAAGTCGCTCTCGGAATCTTGCCCTACGTTTCTAAGCTAAACTTTTCAGTGACTTTTGATATTGCTTCTCATGACCACCTTTAGGCTAAGGCACATCACCACGGGTGCGCGGGTGTTCACCACGCGACCAACGCGGTACCAAAGGTGGACATTTTTCCGGTTATCGGTTTCCCCGGTCATGACGGGGATGGTAGTGAAAATTGATCTTGGCTTGTCCAAGTTCAAGTTGCTTTCAGAGGGCTGGACGGCGTTAACGGCATAGGAATCATGCATATTCAGGAACGGGCTTGGGATTGTCCCGCTAGACTCCAGTAGATACCTCGGATAACGACGCGACGAAAGTAGCTACGTTCGAAAGTTGATATCGTTGTTTTTCTTCTTCTTTTTCTTCTTCAGACTCGAAATGGAAATATGGCCCTGGCTTAACACATCAAAACGCCTTCCTTTCCATGCACCCTATTCATGCTTAACGCCTCGTAATCTCATGACCTTAGTAAAAAAGCATCAATCATACATCCATTCCCGGGATGTTTGTTCCGGCAACCTTGCCTCAACCGGCTTTTCTCAAATCTTTCGGACGGAAGAAACGTCATGTCTCATCGCTTGCTTCCCCTTGCCTTCTTCTCGATCCTGTCCTTCCCAGGTGTGTAAGGGGCCGCGACGCCGATGAAGGGTCTCTGGTTACCTCCGGGCTCCCCTTTGAACTCGTATGTCCCGCTGGGTCCTAACGTTGCCGGAGCGCCTTGGCTTGGTCTGGCCAGCTGGTCCGCATGAATCTTGTCGAGAGACTCGCCGACGACGGCATATTGTGACCAGTTGATGGGCGGACAGCGCACCACGTTCTGGGGCTTAGGAAGTGACTCCCACGGCTGTGGCGGTTCCTTCGCCTTGCCTTGCGCGGCACTCCCATCTGCTTTGCCCTCTGTCTCGTCGTCTGAGTCCGAATCAGACTCAGCAAACAGCTTGTCGCCTTGCGTGTGCACTTTGCCTGTGCCGAGGTCGGCGAGGAAAGCTGACGGATTTTCTACGGCGGCGTTTTTTGCGGCGTTGAGCCCTTGGATATCGGCGGCGGCCTTTCTCGATTGCATCTGGAGGATGGAGATGGCTGACTTGAGGGCGAGGACATCGGGGTTGGAATCAAAGTCGATGGGTTCGGGACGCGGAGGGGGGATGGCGGTAGCGGCGGACGGCTGGGAAGAGTGGGTGAGGACAGGGCGGTCGGCAGCGAAAGGGGCGGGAGGGTCCGGCAGACGGGCCGGGGGTAGGGTCGGGGTTATGGGGCTGATGGGGGGCCGGGCGGGGGATGAGGAGCGAGAGGATCGCGGAGGGGTCTGCTGCGCATGTGGTGGGTTTGTTCCGCCTGCCGAAGAGGTTGTGGCAGCAGTCGGACCAGCAGCCGCAGACGTAGATGGCGCGGGTGCCGGCGCACTCGATGTGCGCGGTGAGATCGCGTCTGTTTGTATCGTGAGTCCGGGCATAGTTGGGAGAAGGCTTGCGGCTCGCTCTCGGGAGCAGCGGTGCTTCTTGGTTTGTTTTCTTGTGGTCGGCGCCTGGGTGTGTGAGCGGGAGAATAGAAGGTTGAAAGTTGGAATGTGTTTCGTCTCGTGGTGGGGTTGGGAAGGAGGGGGAACGGGAGTGCAATCGGAGCTGAATGTGCACCGTGCGTTTGGCGCGCCGCGCGTGCAGATGGCTCGGGAAGTTTGTCAGCTTCGGATACTAGCGCCGTGCAGGGAAGGCTGCATTCAGCTTAAGTCAGGTTCTCAAGCAGGTGCCTGTGGGCTTATGTGCCCGTGAGAGGCTTCTAGAGAGGAACTGCGTTGTGATATGATACTTTCGACGATGAGGGCGCAGGGCGGGCTGCGTAAGCCAACGGACGTAGGAGTTGGGTGAACTCAAAGTGCGTGCGCCAAGCGACGGTTTCTGTTTGTTGACTTTGCTGGTGTTGTTGTTGATGTTGTTGGAAGTATTGTCCTACCTACTCGTGTGGCCCGCCCGATTCATTCAACGGATTCCAAAGTCAAAGGTTGGATGCAAGACAGGGAAATGGAAACAGCGCTCCGAGGTTGACGTTCAAATGTAGGTTCGCCACTGGCTAGCTCGATTGGAGCAGGGCGCCTGCAGAAGATTGTCAAGATCGGAATCACGTCGCCGACGGGAGGCAGGCAGTGCACGGTCTACCGGTACCTTACTACCTTACCTACCTAGGCACTCGGTATCCGTATGTACATCTTAGAGAGAGCGTGCACGTGCCAGGTGCTCCATTCATTTTCGTCAGGGTCTGAAGTGTAGATAGAGGTGGACTGATTGGCTGTCCTCCCGAGACTTCTGTTCAGCCGCTATTGTGAGGGGAGTCGCCGATGCAGAAATCGACGATGAACCTCTTTCCGGAGAGAAACTCCATGGGCATTGAGTTCACGTCCAACAAAAGAGCGTATTCTCGAATCTCGATCATCTGGCGATGACGTCGAAAGCACTGGTGCGGTTCAGGTCTAGCAGTTCAGCTATCCAGCCAGAGCTTCTGAGAATCCGTCCAACGTTGTTCTACCGTACGTCCGTATTCCCGCACAGCCCATGGTAGATTTCCGAGCTTGCCTAGATTCGTGAGAAACTCGACGGCCTCTAGAAGATGTGATATTTTACCTTACGCAGGAGAGGGCACATCTGGTGCACCGGAACGAGGAACGGAATCCGCGGGCGGCAAGTTGAATCTGTGATACATCAGATTGTGGCTGCAGCAAGAAAACTTGCTTCTTCCATTTTACAGCCCACGCTATCGAAATCTCGATATGACCCAGCACCACAACTCCGAATAAGGAAAACTTGTCGCAAAAGACCCGCCAATATCTAGCTTGAACTCGGTCTGTCTTCAATATTGAATCTAAACAGCGAAGATTTTGTCTCATTTCTTTCTGGCGATCATCAGTGCATTCTTCTTCCTCCAAAACATCCAACTACCGCACAAACGGGCCCCCTCAACCTGCTGGCCAGTAGACAAAGGATGCTGCGCCCCAATACGGGAAGCCTAAAGTGTGTGAGATGCATCTTGGTCCCTGTACCATACCGCTGGGTTAGCCGTGCTTTCAAGCTGAGAGCACCACATTCCCCATCTCGGACGGTCAACAAAGGACGAAACGACACGCCGTCGAAGGGCTAGCAGTTGGTTTTGCTGGGCCAGTCTTGCGTTTTGGTTCCTGAGACACTACGAGACACCTAACCAAGGGATGACTAGGTCGACGGTCGACCGAGGAGTCCGACGGTGGAAGTCCCATTCCTTGCATGGACCCAGCCCTCGAACAACTTCAGGCAAGGGCTCTGCTCATAGTTCAACGATGCTGCAGTAGTAGAGCGGCCGGGGAAGACGTCACTCATCTCGTGAGGGTGCCCTAACAATGAATACTAAACGTCGTTTCTTATGGATTACCGCACAGTCTTTGCCAACGTTGGCGTTAGCGTATGATTAGTGACATGTGGCGTCCAGTCGTATTGCAGGGCTGGCATATCGACAGGGTCGGGTAGATGGTGTCCGTGATGCCTCGCTCTTTCTGCCCTCAACATGGCAGGAGCTAATGGGCACGAGGTGCTGAACGCCGGGGTAGCATGCGGGACAAGGCATGGCATCCACCAAAAGAAAGCATGGAAGGTGCAGGCCAAGCCAATCCGCCTGCTCTTTCCTGAAGAAAAACATGGGAAGGCGTGGAAGGTAATCAACACGAGCGGGGCAAGAGCACAAGAGCGAGCATGCATGGCTTCTGAGACCTTTCCGTCCCATGCTCTTGTTTCCATTCCGCTTCTTTTGGGCCGGCGTCAAATTACACGTTACTGCCACGAGGTCCTTTTCTCTCTCTCTGTTGATCTTTTCTACTTCTACTCCTCGCCCGCCAGTTCTTCTTTCTCTCCTCTCTGACACGGCCTCAACTTTACTGAACATACAAATTTCTCAACACTCAGTTCCAAAACACCCAACTTCTTCGCCTCGAATACTTGTTATCAAACTCTACCATTCTTTTTCGCCTTCTCCGCACATATACATATCCTCCAAGCCACCTTCACCTTCGCCCTATACGGAAATTGTGTGACACTGTCCGTCCTCACCTACCAAAGAATACTGTCTGGCGTCTCTTCTGCAAATCTCGGGGAATTCGGGCGTCTTTTTCGAATGTTTGAATAGCAGTTTTACTAGTCTATTCTCTCACCGAACAATGCGGCTCTTCCATCGACATCGAAACAAGCAGAAGAACCCGCCTCAACCTACCCAAGAAGACCTGCTTTCACCCTTCGACTCACCAGCACCTTCGCCTCCCATTCGGAATTTCTCATACCCAACCGCGGCCTTACGACCACCGTCGGGACCCTCCATCTCTTCATCCGCACAGCTGGGTATTCACCTACCTCCTGCCGGTTTTGGAGAAGCACGAACATCCACAACTAGTGGCCTCATCGAGCCCCCGTTCTACTGGGCGTCATCGTACAGACCCATACGGGAGGAAGAAATCGAACCCTCGACAGATTCGCAGTCTTTCAATTCCGATACTGGTCCAGAGGCATTTGTCTACGGCTAGGGGCCGATTCCAGAGAAGAAGAAAAAGAAACGGCGAAGTCTCCTCGGAATCTCAACACCACTGAGAACCAAAAAGATCATTGAATCCGAAGGACTGCCTCGAATCAATAGAAGTGCGCCGCAGAATCCTGACCGAGATTCTCTCACTGGATCTCGAACTACTCATCCATCAGCTCAGGCTGTCTTTGAAAGCTCACCTAAGAAGGCGTCTCCTCAGAAGCGCGCTTTTGTTCTCGGTCACAAGTTCGCCAAGTCAGTCGATCTTGCATCCACCCACCTACGCCCGCCGAGCCCACTTCGCCCGGCATCTAGCTCAGGAATAGCAACAGTCGACACGCGAACTGCCCCTCACAGGATAGGGCTAGCGATAGACGAAGAAGATAACCATCCAGGAACTTTGCTCGATCTCTCAGACGACGAGATGGGTCTCAGACGCAGAATCTCGGAGATGGACTTGAGGATGTCCCCTCCGAAACGCATGTTCTCCGACCATTCTCAGACATCAGAGTACAGCGCTTCTACAGTTAGTGTCAGTGGAAGCCCTACAAAGAAGAGACGAAGTGGTAAGACCAAACCCAAAGACGGCAAGCATCATTGGGTGAGCCAGCTCAAAGACTGGTTCAGTACTGGCGAGCCGTCCTCTCAAGACTGGAAACAGCTCAAGAAACAAGAGTACCACAAACATGGGATCGCGATGAATGACCCAGATGCCAGCGCAAAGCTGCACGCTCCTATTGGAGCAATTCCCGAAGAGGCCATCAAGCCTTCCAGCGGGCCTGATCCCGAGACGATTGCCAAGAAGAAGTTTGCCAATCGAAAGCAGGTTCGCCAAGCATATGGCGGTTGCGAGAGAATCTCCGGCTCTGTTTCATCTGAGTCTTCGGCGGGTAGCAGGGAGGTCAATCCTATTGCCCCATGGGCATAGGCGTGATACTCAACAGGCTGAAATTGGGGAAGGGGCATGCCTTTATTTGTGACAAGGCAGACGCGGGAGTATGTGGATTGATGAACGAGACAACGACTGAAAGATGATGACGATTTGCTTGAATCGCGTTTGCATTATACCCGCTTCTAGACGCCACGGCAATGAGCCTGTCACAGAAGCTGCGGTGGAATTTTCAAACTTTGTTGGCCGTTTGTGCGCCACAGGATGGAGGGCCTGAAACGACTGTCTTTAAGAGCACCATAGTCTGATGAAAGCGGAAGATTTCCCACTATGCTCCTTGAGTGCCAAATTCACATGCCAACGTAATGTTCCCAATGGTTGACGGCTGGTGACGGTCACAGAGGATGTTGAAGGTACATGCGTACTTGACATTGACGATGAATAGTTCCTATTTGGAGATCTGGAGCAGTCGTGGGCCAGGAAATTGGGGCAGTCACAAAATGTATCGCAATATCGGTCCCCAATCGCGGCATAACTCCACAAACTTGCCGGAAGTCATGTAGGGCACACTGGAGTGGGACGATTGAGAGATTTAGTCACGATGGGATTCACCGGTGGTGTGGAGGAGGCCTAGCCGTCAAGATTGCGTGAGTGACAGCTCGATCGCATGCGGTTGGTTGGTTGATTGGTCAAGTCGAACACCGAGACACCACTTGATGCTCGTGTTAGCTCAGGTATGGAGCTGAAAACTGTCATTGGCACTCGCAGATGCAGGTGCATTTGCAGGACAGCAAAGAGCAGCTGGCTGGGTCACCACCACCAACGTTGGATTCCCAGTTTCTTTCCATGCTGCCCAAAGTGAGGCGCGAGCATTTGCTTCTCGACAACTCGCTCCCGCGTTGGCTACCGCTTCGTGAATCCCCCACGCTAGGCCGGAGCTTAGCTCCGAGTCGGGTGTGGAGATTTCGGACGGGCAGTGTGCTGAAGCAGTAACCAGTGGCCAGCTCCCCCGACTGGACTGCTGGAAAATGGGGCCTTCCAATCGGCGATCCTCACGGCGCCAGCGCCGTGGTTGTTTTCCCCACCTTTCCGCTTTCGGTGACAGCGCTGTGTGTCGCGTTCCCCCAATTGCAGAGGATGACGTACATGACCAGGAAGCTCTGGCCTCTGCCCTCTGGTGAGTGGTGGTTGCAGCATTGATTCGATGAAGCTCTGGACCCCCCCTGCCGTCATTGAGACGTCTGTGAGCGGGATGTAAGTAGGTATTAGTGCCTAGTCCACGGTCGTTCGTCTTAGCTGCTTCAGTCTACCGCCATTTACTTGGACGTGTGTCCCCCAGTTCCCAGCTTTCTCCCTCTTTCTCTCCCTCGTATTCTTCCTTTTTTGCATCGGTTTTCTGTACTTTTCGGTCAAGGTTGCATTTACGAAAGATACCCTGCCGCATATCACTTGTGCCACTTGGTGCGAACATCCCCCCCGTTGTCCAGGCCTTCGACGATAGCTACGATACAAAACGCCAGCCATGCCTTCGCTTTGGGGTTCGAGGAACAAGAAGGACGACGATCAGGAGGTCCGTGATGGGCCTGGTCCTCCGGAAGAGAGAGGTTCGAATGAGTACGCGGCACGGGAACCCGATGAACACACTCGACTCCTACCGAACCGGCTCGACAGCGACAACCGCCAGTATTTGACGCCCGATGACCCGGCGGTGTCTCCTTACAACCTGTGGACGGTGCGATTGCTGCGATGGGTGACTGTTCTCTTCACGGCACTCACTTTCACGTGGTGGACTCTGACTTTGGTTTCCTCCTTCGTTACGCCGCCTGGGATGCACACCCGCGGTTCCGGATTTTACGCCTTCAGCTATTCGAGTGTGGCACTGTTCACGCTTCTGTTTACTCTTGTGTTCTTTGCGGCTCCGTCCAAGGCTGTCCGGGTTCTGGCCATCTTTATGGCTCTCATGCTACTTGTCAACATGATCCTCATTGTTGCGGTGCAGAAGAACCGTTACGAAGAGGCTGGAGTGGGAGTTGCGAGTGTTGTCTGTAAGTTGAGAGTTTGGCATCTGATGTGACCGGTCCTTTGCTGACAAGGCCACCCTCAGGGGCATTCGTCGTGAGCTTGTGGGCACTCGCCTGTGACCGAACTGTGAAATGGGGCAAGGCTGAAGAGGAGGAGAGGCTGACTGGCCGCGTTGAGACGAGACGCACAGTCTGGGAATGGACCGAGGTGCTCATCTCGACGGTGGCCTATGTCGTCCTGTCTCTGATCATCATTCTTATCACTGCCACTCTGATTCTACGATCTCTCGATGCCGGGTTTGGCCCGCCGGGCGAGCAGTACTGGGTCGATGGCGACCAATACCGCATTCACGTCTACTGCGATGGCAACGGCACCGATGCCGCGGGCAACAAGCTACCTACTGTTTTCTTCGAGGGAGGTGACTTGCCAGTCGAGAATGGACTGTGGCAGTTTGCGCAAAACGCTCTGAAGAACGACTCCATCTCAAGATACTGCTTTGCCGACCGTCCGGGCTACGGATGGAGCGATACCGCCCCCAGCCCTCTGTCAGCAGGCATGGCAACTGACGCCCTTAGCGAGGCTCTCGCACGAGCTGGTGAGAAGGGCCCTTGGATCCTTGCCAGCGCTGGAATTGGTTCCGTTTACTCTCAAATCTTCTCCTCTCGACACGGCAGAGAAGTAAACGGCCTTCTTCTGATCGATCCGCTTCACGAAGACCTTCTTCACCGGGTTTCGGACCCCGGTAGAGGCTTCTCCTACTGGCTTCGTGGCGTATTCTCCCCTCTTGGAATCGAACGTCTCCCAGGCGCCATCTTCCGTGGACGCACTAGCGCAGACCGCGTCTGGGGTCGTTCAGCCAGACAGAGTGGAAAGTACCTGTTCTCAAAGTTGCAGGAGAGTCTCGTAGCTGATTCACTCACCAAGCGCGAGGTGATTAGTAGTAAGGCCATCCAGTACCCGAATACCCCACTGGTGGTCATCAGCTCCGGCGTCAACATTCGCAAGGACAGCGAATGGGAGGACAAGCAGAGAGATTTCAGCCATCTGACGAGAAACCTGAAGCATTGGGATACGGTCGACGACGCGCCTCACAACGTGTGGGAGACGTTGGATGGACGTCAGAAGATTGAGAAGAGACTCCGGCAAATGGTCCATGCGTGAACCTATTGATAACGGCGTGGCGGGCCTTGGCATCTAGTTTGTTGGATCGGGACGAGTTTGAACGTTGTAGCCGTACGGAGTAACACAGACACGGTCGGGTGGCCATCCCTGAGTTGGGTTTAATTGCGGTGCGAGCGACAGCTAGGAAATGAAATGATGAAAGCGATTTGATTTTCGACATACTTTGTGTGTTGTGGAGTTGATGGTAATTGTCTGCGTCGTGTCCGTGAAAAGAGAAGCAAAATGACTCGTAGGTATCTTTGCTAAGGTGAAGAAGTTTCGGCTCTGCGTCGTATTAGCGGCTCGATAGGCGGCTTGCATGACTTGCGAGGTTTCCGAAATGCTTTAGCGGGATGCCTTTTATCGACCAAGTTGCTCGTTCCTCATCGATTTGTCTCGAAGAGATGTCTCATGAAGGAGGAGAAGAGAACTTCTGCTGCACCGGACAGAATTGTGTAGAGAAAAAGGCAAGCGGCGTCAATGCCACGTGCTGTATGCAACGGACAAGGCAGTTAAGTTTTCCGGTTGAAGAGATTTGTTATCCACACCTCTTGTCTTGGACGGGATCTTGCATGTGGTGTTTGCTTGTTTTTGTTGCGGGAAGCTTTTTTTTTTCTTTTGGCTGGTCGCAGGGAACAGCTCCGGCTGGACAGTCCGGGTGTTGCTCACGCGACATGTGGCCTCTCTGAGAGTGCCTTCCTAAGTTCTCGGAGGAAATCTACAAGACACATGGTCAATACTTTCCTCGGCCTTGTTTCTACTTATTGCCACTGCTGCTATGATTGCTTCACATTTCTCATGTCTTTCTCACTGAACACGATTTAGACAGCGTATGGCAAACTATGATAGCAATAATGACTTTGAGAATGCGGCTCCTTGTCTGTTGACCGGCCCAGACATCTTATTCTGTCACCCACACGCTTACCGCAGTGTAAGGTACCTTTTGAGATGGGATGGCCAAGTTGCGGCTCGCCAAGGACGCTGCTGCTCAAGTAGGCTAAGGTTCGGACAGCTTGATAGATTCATCCCATGTCTGAAACTTAAGCTGCACATCATCATGTAAGTAGCGTCTGAACTCTGAACCTTGAATTGTCCGATGTGTATGCAAATCCGTGAAATCAAGGGGTACATGAGACTGCGTATTGCATTGCATTTGATCTGTGACCTACACGTGCGATTTGCTAGGCGCGACCACGACTCCATAGACGACCGGCGACCGACCTTACAAAGTTGCTTCTACCCAGTACCTCTTACTGCAGTAGCAGCTGAAGAATTGATGCCAGCGGGCCAGCCCGTGTTGGGCTGGAGCGAGGTGGTGGTCAGGAATTAAAACGGATACGAAGTGAATTATTTTATGGAAACAGGTCGTATGCAGACTATGAACACGAGGGAGAATTTACGAGCCCACTCAACCTTGAAAGGAAACAGTTATCTACGGATAGTAAGCGGACAATTCACTCGGTTCGCTAACGGGTAGAACTGTCAACGGGCGAGTACGACAAGTTCGTGTTGAGAACCGCTCAAGGCCGAAGAGCCCCTCCCCAGACCCCCCAGACCTCCCTCTTATTTTAAAACGCGACCCAATGACGGCAATGCCTGCGCTCTCGCGTCTCCGCCCTTCACCCATTCTCACCACTCAGCAGCTTTATTCTCGCCCAGCAAAGAGGACCCCGAAAGTGAGACCAAGAAGCCCCCTCCAATGCTCCCCCAGGGCCCCAAGACCCGACTCAGTCGTCCAGCAGGAGCCCCCAACTGGAACGGCACAACGGGTCCCTCCCACCTGGTGCACCCTGGGCCTCGGAGCTGGAGAATGGGACCCCAAAAATAGTGTGGAATTTGCCTTCGGCCGGCGCCTAAGTATTAGTGCGGTATACCTACTGCGTAGGCCACCCGTACCCAGGAACGGTAGGGACAAGGTCCCTAGAGAGGTTCCGTGCTCTTGGGGCTTGGGATTCCAATCCTCCCCGGACACTCAACCCGGAATGGCCGCCCTACAGCCCAGCGAGGGAGTCAAGCTTCGCCATGGAGGGAAGGACGTGCTCGTGCTGCGACGTGCCTCTGGTGTCATGCTGTGCGTGCGGCGTGATAATGGCCATGTACGATGTCCCATGATGGAGATGGCGTGAGGTGCACTGAGGTTGACAGACACCTGTTCACTTATGTCTCGTTTGCGTTGCCGAATGGGTAGGGCAGCCTTCCCGATCAAAGTGCCCGTCCATCAAGTTGATAAGACCCATGTCTGGACACCTCGACAATCGCCTTGCTGCCTTTGTTTTTCTTTCCCTCCCTCATGCAGGTAAAATGAGCCGTAAGCCAAAGTTCCTATAGTCGGAAGAGAATCAGTACCGCAATCAGAATCAGTGGAGAAAGAACAGATACCATCCGACTCCTCTTGGGGATTTGCAAACGATGCGGTTGCCGTCCACTCGAGATTGGTGCTGATACTGGGGCAACCTGACCTGACAGCCGAGTACGTACTTGAACCATCTGGTGTGCCCGCCCTGCTGTACCTCCATTAACGCCCCTCCACTGTCCGGTACAGAAGAAGGTACCTGTTCTGTCTCGCTTGTGACGTGCAACCACGTCGACCCGGCCTGGTTGGGCGGGGATCGGAAAGGGGGGTTGAGTTTGTTGTAGCGTCAATGACGGCCCCTGGCCACTTAAAGGGCGGACTGGAGTCTTCAAGGGTCCACGCATGAGGGGGGAAGTAGCGTAAAGTTCCTAGGCAAGGAACTTGGAGACAGACGCGCTGTACGCACCGTGGTAAGGTACTTCGAGGTATTAGCGAGGAGTCGGTCCAAGACAACTTGGAAATCTCACCTCACCACCTCACGTATCCGCACTTCACGGGCGCCTGCCCACATTCAACTCCCCCATGCCTTTTGTTGCATCTTTTGCAACTTCCATGCTCGAGGACGCTGGAACTTCCTTCTTCAACGTGGTGCATGTGGCCGTCCTTCGCCTGGAATCCGCATGGTAATGATTAGTGAGGAAGCCAAGACCCAGGTCCAGTATCCGTACCTACCTTACCTTCCCTGTGTCGTCGTCAAGCTCCGCACCCGCAGACCCGCGCGTCGACTGCACTGCTCTGCACCTTACCTGCGTGCCTGCCTACCTTACCTTACCTTGCCGCTCCGCACCTTCCAATACAATACCACTGCGTACCTACCTGCGATCTCTCCGAAACTGAAACCCCTTGCTTCTCTTGAATAACCCAACGTCGAAATCTCACCCCATTTGGGCTGAAGCCACCGACCGCCTTTCTTTCACAGTCACGGTCGCATTTGCAGTGACGCCAGCAGCAAGCACCACCAACTTACCTGCTGCAAGGCAAACAATCCCGATTCGTCTGGCCTCGTTGTGCCAAACCCAGACCTTCTCCAACCTTGAATTGTCACTGCTCTCGCTGCAACTACCTTGCTTCGCACCCGCCAGGCTGACAGACGACTACCTACCGCCAAACCTTGGCTTGGCCACTTCGCACAATTATCACGGGTGCCGCGTCCTTCTCTCAAATCGACTTGCCAACTGTCAAAAATACAAGAATCGCACTTTCCGCTCACGAGTGGTTGCGGACATTTTTAGCAGCTTCGACTGTAGTCTGCTCTGTAACTCTTCGAGGTATTTCAATTTCTGGTCTGGCTGCTGATACCCATACCTCCTTCCTCCTCCAACTACATCCCACCGGAGAGGCAGCTCACGCCTCCTACCTTGCTTGACTTTGCTGACGCTGCCTACTTTGCGCAGGATCCCACCTACTCCTATGGTTTCGATATTACCGCGCGTCGATAACGATTTCAAACAATGGAGAACGAGCCGCCTTCCGCGACCTCGAGGCGGGGTCGTCTAATGGGGAAGCTCTTTGCCCTCAAAGAGAAAGATCGCAAGCCCACGGCCGAAGAAACGGGCAATAATATCAATGATTTCCTTAACGGCCCCTCTGATACCCTGCAGGTCAACCATGCCTCGCCTTCCACCGCCATCCCCCAGCTTTCGAAGCTCGATATCTCCTCCGCTACTCGCTATCCACAAGCCTTGTCTGTTGCTAGTCACTCACAGCAAAGCCTGAACCCCCCGAACCAGTACTCCGCCCGCAGCCCTGGCCTAAGCCCGGGCATCCCACCTCGGAGCCCGCGGCGTAGCAACCGAAAGGGCTTGACTGTTCGTTTTGTGGACCAGAAACCCGACATCATTGGCGAAGGTGGTGATGAGTCGGAGATCCCAGCCATTGAGGTATCGAGGCGCAAGAAGCAGCGACCTCCTCCGTCCCCACGACGTACACCCGTGGCTGCTGTTCACGACTCCCCGCCGAGAGCGCCCTCAGCGCCGAAAGAGGACTCAGACTTCATGCCTGGCCGCCTGCGACGAACACAGACAGGCTTCTCCTCTGTCAGCAACGAGCCCATCGAGCCCAAAGAACCCCCTCCAGCTTATAGAGAGGTGGCACCAGGTAACGCAGTTTCGGCGCCATTCCTAGACACCCCGACCATCGCGAAGAACGAGAATCGAAAGTCCTTCATCGAGCACCAGCAGGCGGAGATGCGACAAGCAGAGGGCAAGGCGTTTGCAGAGGCCGCACGTCAAGCTGAGCGGGAGGAGCATGGAGGCCAAACGCCTCTCGTACCGCAGATAAACGAGTCCCCAACCAGATCTCCAGTGCCACCTAGCAAGGTGCCTCTCCAGCCGAGATCCCCAGATGACTACAGAAAGCCTCCCGAGCAAAGCCCCTCATCCATATATTCCAGCAGCACCGAATTCAGCCAGCAGCAGAACACAGCTGCCAATTTCTCTCGGCAGCCTTCTGTCAATTCCCAGTACCACATGGCGCCCCCATCTGCAACAGTCGCCTCGAGACAGGCATCCTTCAACTTGCATGATGCAGTCCTTGCAGTTGGTGATGACGCTCTGAACACATTCGTCACTCGCACTCGCCACTTTAATGAACTATTCAGGCTGCATGCCGAGACAATCAAGCCCATTTCGGCCTGTTCACCGCTAGAGCTATCACGTGCTGCACTGTGGTGGCTCATCAAAGGACGCACTGCTTTAGAGGTTGCAGTTCGTGCACGACCTGGTAGTCCTCAAGACCAGATGCAGAACGAGAATGATCGCCAGCAGGCATATGCCAACCTTGCCAAAGGCTACTGGTTGGTGGAGGAAGCCATACCTGAGGTGCAGGAGAACAAGCGCCTTGCGCCCGATGCAGGCATTACTGAGATTCGCTCAACGTTGGTCGGCGCTCTCAAGAAGCTTGCCGTCTCAATGAAAAGAAACGGGTTCCTTCCGCCTGAAGAGGCGTTCTTGCCTCAGACCATCGACAAGTCTATCTGGATTGAATATCCCCGACTGAGCGTTGACATGATTGCCTTGCTCACTGCCGATTCATCTGCAGCCATGACGGGTGTTGTTCGCACCCCCTCTGCTTTCGAAATTCTGGAGACTCTGCCCCCTAACGATACTGCTGAGAACTTCACATTCGGCAGAGTGAGCACGGACGTGTTCTTGATGGAACAAGGCATGGATTCTCAGAGATTCTACTTCCCTTGCCTCCTGACCATGGTCCGACCTAACAAACAGCACAACTTGGTCTTTGTTATCGCTAGTCAACACGGCGAAGTGAACTTACGAATCCAAGGAAATAAGAACTCGGGCCCGACCTGGGACGATGTCCGCTGGCGCAATTCAACCCACTCACTCGAGATCAAACTGCCCAGAGGCTTCATGATCGTCGTTCAGTGCTCACAGCAGGACTACCGAATGCTGTGGAATATGTACGATTTCGGTGCCCAGGTGCAGTCGACACTGTACGCTCGATCCGACGAGCACTGCGTTTTCCGTTCTACCCTTCGGTCATTCCAGTACTTCGACTCAAATCCCAATTCCCGGGCGTTTCCCAAGGAAGCCGTGGCAAATTGCGATGTGGCTCTGTTTGAGAAGATTCATAAGGAGCATGCTGCTGCAGGTCCACGCGCTTACCATAGGGGGTACAGAATCGTCGTGGTAACAGGCCCTCGCACGAGAACGCTGAGTGGTGTCAACCACACCTACACGCCACAGATGCCAATCCCCTTCAGTTTCCTTAGGTCGGACGGAGGTGATGCTGCCTTGATGCTCAAGTACGACAATGTCAACCCGGATCCGAACAAGCGCATAAAGGTGAGCATGGTGCTCTCGTTCGCTGATGAGGGGGAGCGGGCCCAGCTCAACAGCCTCATTTCCGGTACTTCTGTGCAAAAGGATGAGACGATCTACGCAGATGTGCCCCTTATCGGATTCTCCATGTCGACATCGTTGCAGGATAGCAAGTATCTTCCAGGCGTCAGCCAGATCCCCTGGACATCCCTTCGAGTCATCAACGAAGATGCCGACGACGAATATCCTCGGACAGTTCTGGCCGACAGATTACGAGTCATCGTTGAATCCAAGCAGGGTTTACTCACCGACCGAGTGAACCTGCAACCTGGCGAATTGCGAGTGAGGCTCGAGGTTCAAGAGACTAAGTCTCTCGTGGTGATGCGCCAGCCACAGTTCGACATGACTGCAAACGTAGCAGACGGAACTGTTGGCAAGGAGATCCCCAAGGCTATGACCGAAATGCTCCAAATGTTGCAGACGACCCAAACAATTCGCACTTACAGCTTCCCGACGCAGAAAGATCTTCATGCCTTCCAGGCTGCATTGACTGGATTCCAAGTCGTCTTCGACGGCCTCGCCGCTACCTTTGCAATTTCTCGACGAAGAATGGTGGTTCCGATCCACAAGAAATGGGAGGCGGGATTGACTCGAGTCCAAGTAGTGCAACAAGGCACAATCATGCAACTCCTCGCGTTCTTCCCAGACTTTCACCACGGCCAGTGTATGAACTTCGTTTTGAAAGGCACGGATGTATACGAGACGTTTTCGAGGAGCAGTAAAGCTGGTATCAAGTTTGTTGACGCCAAGTTCCCCATGCCACGCATGCCCAACGGCAGCGACGGACCGTCAGACGACATGGGATTCATTTGTCTGGACCTGCCGGACTTGCCGGGTGAGCACGACGACATCACGCTCCTCTTCGAAAACGAAGCGGGTAAGTTTTCCTAGACCCATTGCCGAATGGACTCGGGCTCATGCTAACTCCCGAACAGAACGCGACCGGCTGACGCAGTGTCTACCGGCCACCGTCAAGGGTTCCAGGTCACTGAGAGGCCGATAGACGAAGCCCACTCGAAATGACAAGTAAGGAGCTGTGAGAAAAGCGAAGAATTATCCAAAGCATTGTTGTGGTTGGAAGCAAGACCTGGACATTCGGAAAAAAACAAGATACCCATCAATCTGTTCATCACATTGCTTTGCGAACAACGAATAGCGAGAAAGGAGAGATGGATTAAGCACGGGGACGGAAAAGGGCAGAATCCGCAGCCTGAAGATGGCGGGTGGATTTGGCACTGGTTTATACCGAGATGACAAGTGCCTAGGCACTCGGATGATGTGGCAGGTCTGGCCGGAAGACCCGGGACAGCCGCCATGGTTTGCGAGGCTAGGCATCGTTGGGAGCCTCTCCAGAGCGGCCTACTTTTTTTTGTGTGGTTTTAAGCAGCAACACGACCGGATCATCAGGGTTTGGTCACTATTTGGCTGCCTGTCAGGATATCATGGTGGTTGTAGAGCAAAGGGCAGGCATCAAAGCATGCGCTTACGAGCAGCGTGCCTTTCCTTAGGTAGAAAGGACAGCAGCTTGACAATGATACGCGTATTAAGTGACATACGACGAGTATCCGACACATACGATGGTGCCGAAAAACGCGAGTGACATGGGCTATGGTACCCGTGCGGGCCATTCGTCCATAAGCTGTGTATGGAAACAGAGCTGTCCATTCAGTGGTCCACCAGACTGGAACGTCGTGGACCTCTTGGTCGAAGGGCGTGGGACTTTGAGGGTATGAGGTCTCGGTCTGCAACTCGAAGTGGTTAATATTGCTTGGAAGTAGCAGCACTGCCACAATTGACCTGCATAATGGGGGTGAGATGCCTGGGCACGCCAATCACCTGGGTAAGGTAGGTGACTTGGTCTTGTTGAGATCTTGTTCGGCGTTCTCCTCTCCATCTTCAACTGGGATGCTTCCCTTAGGTACCTAACATATGCACGTATAGACAATTGCTAGCTCGTTGTAGAGCATTTCATTTGGGTTGATACATATGATTTGGTCGAAAGCTTTTCATGTATAAAACAGACGCGAGATGGACCAGGTCCTCAAGATGAGATACCTTGTCGCATAAGTCTCAATAATTAGTACCCTGCAGCAGGGCGCACCGTGTAGTGGGCCAGGGATTCAAGCATTTTGAACAGAAGGGGGAGTCGCTCACTGCATGATTGGCTTATGAAGAGAAGCCGGCGGGCATGTGATTGGGTGCAGGGTAGCACAGCATTTGATGGTATTGAACATGGGATGGGACGGAAGAAAGGAGTGGAGGGGGGGAAGCTGGGGTGACAGACACTCCCGTGCGAACAGATGCGGATGCGCGGGTTGGCATCTCGATGGCTCGCTCGCTCCTCCCCGCCCGTTGTCACTTGTGGGAAATATTGCGGAAGTGCAGATGAACACCCCAGTGTTTTGAGTGACTCTTCATAAGGTGGTTCGGGTTTGTCGGGCTACTTTAGGCTTCTTCTTGGGTACCATTGCACTGGACTTTAGAGATGATGACAGCTAGGTTGGGGAAAGCACGGCGAGGTAGGCAGCTAAAGTAGCGGTGCACGGAGCTAATGGAACATGATGGCATTGGAGAAATGGACAAAAAAAAAGTTTTCCAATGAATGGCGCGACGTCATCACCCCTCCTCCTCCGCCGTCCTCCGTTGTGGGGTCCCCTCCGTACATCAGCGACGTAAGGACTGCATGGGAGCCCAGCCCAGGCCACTGGCGACTGGATCGGTGCTGACCATCACAGGTAGCTAAGAGCTGCTAAGGTAGGCGTGGAGGTAGCTTCCGTCTACGACCTTACCCAAAGTTGCCTCGTTTTGACACCAATCTGCTCTCGCCATTGACAATTGCTAAGGAATCTACCAGGCAATCGTCATCTTGTGTCACCAAACTACATTGTACACGGTCTTGTGCTCCTTCATTACGACTTCAGACATGGGAACTCATCTTTGACCTCAGTCTCTTCTCAAATTCCGGCCGTTCCTTGGTTAACCAACAACCTGGATACAGCTACCTACCTTCATCGACCTTCATCTGACATCCGCCTCACCCTTTCCGCTTCGCCCGGTCTCCCAGTGGGCGCCCAGTCACCTTTTTTCATCCATTTTGTTCTCTACAGCTCTGGTTCACGTTCCAGCTCAGGTTGTCAAAGGCGGCAACGCCCAATCGAAAACAGCAAGCGAGTGAGACATCGATAGGTCATCTTTCCTCCCGCCAGTGCCCTTCGCCAAGCGGGCCTCTTTTTCTCTCTCCAACCCTTCGCTTCTCTAAACTCAACATCATTAAACCCGACTTCTTTCTTTCCCACTTTTGCATCCGACTGATACGTCCCCAACCTTTATCCTCCCGACGCTTCCTTCGCCAACAAACCCCTTGCCCCGGAGAAACTCAAACCATCTTCGGCTTTATCGACCAACAACTACTTTTAGTACGACAGGTTCCCACAAAGTCCACTGTTCAACTGCTGCCACTCTTCACTGCCGTCCCCTCGCTCTCGCTCGACTACGTACCGGGCTGCGAGGCCCCATCCTTTACTTGCCGACTCTACCCCTACTTGCAGCTTCAAGCAACCCGCAGACGCCTTTTAGGGGAGCACTGCCCCTCATTCCAGCAAGAAGGCACATCCCGGGCACCGCGCCGATAAGACCGATAGCGGTCTGAAAGACAACTGAGGGGCATCGCTGCACCCACCGCCCACCAAGAGCCAGTCGCAGTCATGGGTTTGGTCCATGTGCCAGGAAGACGCTCCAGAGCCTCCAGCCTCAGTGAGTCTTACCAGCCCTAGCGTCACTGCCTGGTCCGTTGTCTGGATAATACCAGTCGTCCCCTCCTCGTCGCGCCTGTTGTGGACTTCATACAGCGGCAAACTCGCGCGCCTTCTAAAACCCTTTTCTCTTTACATACCCTTACGGCCCGTTGCCCGTTTCCCTATACCCTGCTTGTTTCCCTAGTCGCGTACCTTGGCTCTGGCGTCTTCCGGGAGCCGAAAAGCCTCCACTCCCACTCTCCAGACCTCTGTCGTGCGCAAATCGAAGAAAAAAAAGTTGCCTCCGACCATGCTGACCTCTTGGCTTTCCAACCCACCAGCTAGCAATCGCTCGAGCATCGACGAGGCCAGAGGCGCTGCTGAAGATGACGACACGACTGTGGTCGAGGCCGACCAGGGCAACGGTGAGTGAAGCCTCTGCAAGAAACGTTGCGCCCGCATTTGCCTGCTCGCGGGGTGCTTCACGCGCACTCGGCTAACATGGAGTCCAGTGCTCGGCCACATCATCTCCCAGCTTCGTCCGGGAGCTGATTTGAGTCGCGTTGTTTTGCCGACCTTCATTCTTGAGCCCCGTAGTATGCTCGAGAGGATTACAAAGTCAGTAGTCTCCGAAAAAGATGCGGGTTATGAGACCTCCTTCGCTGACTATGTGCGTTTGTCGTAGCTTCATGTGCCACCCCGAAATGCTCCTCCCTATACCCGAGATCGACGACCCTGTACTACGATTCGTCTCCGTTGTCAAGTTCTACCTCAGTGGATGGCATATTAAACCACCGTTGGTTCTTCCGAGTCACCCGTATAAGCCTTATACGTTGCTAACCTGTACCCAGAGGAGTGAAGAAACCCCTGAACCCGATCCTCGGCGAGGTTTTCTCCTGCTACTGGGATCTGCCCGATAACACCAGGGCATACTACATCTCCGAGCAAACATCGCATCACCCTCCCAAGTCTAGCTACTTCTACATGGTCCCCGAGCACAACATCCGTGTTGATGGCACACTCAAGCCCAGGAGCAAGTTTCTCGGAAACTCGGCGGCGAGCTTGATGGAGGGCACAGCGGTCTTGTCGTTCCTGAATAGGGGCAAGGACAAGACAAAGGGCGAACGATAGTATGTTGGCTAGGAATCCGCTCGTGACATAATACGCTGACCTTGAGACCAGTATCTTGACACAGCCAAACATGTACGCTCGAGGCATTCTCTTTGGAAAGATGAAGTATGAGCTTGGCGACCACAGCTTTGTCCGGTGCCCAGAGCTCGATTTGGTTGCCGACATTGAGTTCAAGGTGAAGGGCTGGGTCAGCGGTACCTATAATGCGATTGGTGGCTCAATCAAACATGAGAGCACAGGCGAGGTCCTTTACGAGCTCTCGGGCTTTTGGAACGATGAGATGTTTGTCAAGGATGTCAAGGTAAGTTCAGGATGATGCTGCAGTTTTGACACGTTGCTGACAGCCTCAGACCGGTCATAAGGAGATGTTCTTCAACGCTAGACGGTCGAAGCCCAGCAGTCCCCTGGTGCGGCCCATCGAAGAGCAGGATGAGCGCGAATCTCAGAAGCTTTGGGCACCGACAGCTCAGGCCGTAAAGGATCGCAACCATGAGCTTGCGACGGACGAGAAGACCAAGGTTGAGGACAGACAACGCGAGGAACGCGAGACAAGAGCTCGCGAAGGCGTCGAATGGAAGCCTAGGCTTTTCAGAGCTGTTCAGGGCGGCCCGGGTGGTCCTGAAGAGGGCGAGGAAGAGCTGGAGTGGATTATCAATGCTCACATGTGAGTACATCTAACTCTCACATCGGATCAAGAAATACTGACACAAAATAGTGACCACACGAACCCAGAGAAGCAGACTGAGCAAATTTTGGCCATATACCCTATACTTCCGGGCCAGAAGCCTTCTACGACAAACGCCATTCCTCCCCATAAGCCCTCTGCGACAGCAGAGGCCCCAGCCCCGGCCCCTGCCCCCGCTCCGGTCGCTCAGCAACATGTTGGAGGCAATGACTTGATCGATTTCGGCGACGCGCCAGCTACCACTCCGGCAGCCCCAACAGCAACTGCGCCTGCTGTTCAGCCACCAAGCGGTCTTCCTCCGGCAGCTCAGGAGGCGCGGAGTGGATCCAAGGACATCGAAGGGATGCTCAATAGCACCGGAACGCAAGCAAAAGAGGGACCATTGATGGACTTCACAGACATGAAGAAGAGCGTACCGCCGCTGAAGAGAGCCGATGAGAGTAACGACAGCTTCCATGATGCTTTGGAGTAGATCCGAGCCAAACTATTCTAGGACGCACGTCCGTCCCTCTGGTTTTTGTTTTCCCCTCCCACCCCATCTGGCGAACCCCTTTTTTGCCAAACATCACATTAATTCACCATGGGAGGCGGATCTCTGGCTAGAGGGGATGGAGGAAAGGGAGGCTGGTCGGGGGGTAACAAACTATAAAGCTTTTGCATTGGCGAACACCCGGGGAAGGGGTTTGGTAGAAAAGGGATACCTCTGTAGATATGTATAGCATTGCTTACTGCTCAGTAATAACGGCACTCAACTGCGGAGAAGTTTTTTGGACATGATTCACTCCCAATATCCGAGGCAAGGGTTGATGATGATGATGCAGGGGTCGTAGTTGCTCTTCGATTTGGAGGCACTACTTAATCTCACATGTTTTGTTACATGGTGCTCTGCCCTTTCAAGAGTTTCTCCCATAGTACCCCAACCCATCCCGGAAACGCCATAAACGCCGCTCTCACCCTCTTTTTTATTTGGTCTTCCAATCCACCCCTTTGAGACAGGTACGGGGGATGGGTATCAAATTCTCAATTTCTGGGGGTTTCGCCTTGCACTCTTCGTCTTCCTCTTCCTCCTTTTGCTGATTAGACCTGTCGTGACATGATACGACATGCCAATGCCCGGCGGCCCGGCTTCCGGCAATCTCCAAACAGCCTGCTTTGTTTTGCTCAGCCGAGCTTCCATGCCAGAGTTTGATCATCGTCCGCATCCTTTGTCGTGTGGAACCGTCGCGCCCTGTTCCACCTCATACGACAACGATACGCTTCAAACAAACAGCTTTCGATCGTTGTGTTCCCCTGAACCGGATTACCATCCCTTTCTTGCTCTTTAGTACCGACGGCGCGTGGGTTCGGGGGTAGGCGAGCGAGACGGGCTCCTCTCGTCGCGGCCGCGGTCCTTGAGCCACTTCTTGGTGCTGAGGGTGAGGTCGCGGTCGAGGTCCTCGGAGGGGTTCTTGCGGTGGATGAAGTTGCAGAAGCCGCCGCGGACGCAGCCCTCGCCCGAGTTGAGGCGGCAGCAGGCCTCGCGGAAGTCGGTGACGGGGGAGAGCTCGCAGTATATGGGGCGGGCGGCGTACCACCGCGAGTTGAGGTCGTCGCAGGCCTTTTGGGCAGAGTCTTCGTATTTGAAGCGGGCGTAGACGTTTCCTATGAGGTCTGTGTGTCTTTGGTCAGTATACGATCATCTTCTCAAGACCACCAGAGAATGGGTGAGAGGGAAGGAAGAAGAGGGCGACGACGCACGGTCATTGTTGTTGTCGCACACCACGAGCTCCTCGAGCTCGCCGTACTTGCAGAGCTCGCACCAGATATCCTCGTAAAAGGCGTCAAAGTGGTTCTGCAGCTGGGACGGGTTCATGCGGTTCTTTGGGTCGTAGGCCGGGTTCTGGTAGAGGTTGGGCATGAGGATGGTCTGCGAGTAGCTGGGCTTGACGTGTTTTCTCGAGCAGCGGTCGCCGTGGCGGCAGGCGCCGATCTTGAAGTAGAAGGAGCAGTTGACCTTGTCGAGCTCCGTGCCGAAGATGGAGGCGAGGAAGTTGGCCATGGTTGCGGTTCAAGACTGTCGTCGCGACGTGGATTTCGAGTGTGCTTGTATCTGATATGTAACTCCCGCGTGGTGAAGTGATGGACGATGGTTCTAGATGCTTGATTGCTCGTTGGGAGGGAGAAACTCGATTGTCTCGTTTGGCGGCCGCGTTTTTTGATGGAGCTGCGGAAACGGGCTTGCTTGCGGCGCGACAAATGCGACGGACCAGAGGTTGGAATTTCTAGCAGCCTCGCGCGCCACGACGATTAGTAATGTTGAGGCTGGAGCTCTGCCTGTGGCTGGAAACGTGTGGCTCGAGCAGCGGTGGGTTCTAGGCAGTTCTTGCTTATGGAACCCCGCTGATTGTGTTCAGGGACTGGAATAAACAGAGTACGTACCGGCGTTGCCAGCCGATGGTCTAGAACGTTTTGGGCGAATTGTGTGGTTTCTTGTTGTTTTACGATAGAATCCAAACATTCCCAGGTCAGCCTTACAACGGCTTTTTCTCATTCCAGGTCCAGACAATGATCCTCGGTTCTGGCACAATTCAATGTTCCCCTCATCTAAACAGGCCATAGAGGCTTGATACCAATCAAAACGCCTTGCTCAACCTCATTGCAATGCTGGCTTCGATAAGTTGCTTCTTGAGCTCCTCATCTGAAACACTGGGTTCTCCTCAACCCAATGATATCGGACTACTAGTTGAAATACGCCAACAGAGGGATCATCATTTTGGTCTAGGTAATGCTATGGACCGGCTTTCAGATTCGTTTGTGCGTCTGCTAGATTAAATGATGTTCTGCCCACCGTAACTAAAGGTTCACTCATCCGATGATGATGACTTGTCGACAGAAGTCAAAATTCCGAGGTGTACAGTCTAACCTCAGGTCACGAGACCACACTTGGATGGAAAATCAACAAACCCGCGCGTCGCTGAACAATCTCAATAAGGTTCCTTCCGAGAGATGATGAAAATATTCACGGTCTCCGGTGGGAAGACATGGTGAAACCAGTCGTTGGACGCGCTATCTCACTTGCCGACCAGTCGCCGCAGTCCCGCCGTCCCAGTCACTCTCGGACTTGAAGCCAAGCAAAAACCCCCCCAAAATCCACTAAAACATCCCCGAGAAGAGAGGTGGAGCAAAGAAGAGCAAGCCGTGCAGCACCATTGGTGCAACACCGGCTGACTGTGGTGAAAGTGAACCCCAAAACGGCCCCAAATCAGTTGGAGGCTTGCTGGGATCCTCCCCGTTGTCGCTGCATCTGTGCTTTCCCACCTCCTGCAGGACATGCGCAAACTTCCCGCCCGTGCGCATCTAACGCGGACCAAAGTCAACACAACTGGTCTGTTGCTTCGACAGCCCTCGACGCACACTCTTCTCTCCCGTCCCGTCTCCTTCTCTCCCCTTTTTTAGTGTACGAATAATTACACCACCCTCACAATCCTTCCTTGACTCTTCTGTGTACACTATTTCCCCCTTGTCGACGGAGCATCCTAAAATTCTTTTTTTATACCCACGATCGACGCCATCCCCTCCGTCCACATTTGCGAGGGATCTACAGAGAAGCTTCTGCCCGTGTTCCATCTTGCTTGACACGGACCCTCTTCCGCCAATCCTCGAGATCTTCCGTCCGATACCCTTTGCCTTATATAACCCGACCCGAGCGCTTTCTCTCTCTCACAGCCGTGGGCCATGACTACGACGGACGCGACTCTGTACTCCAACTGCTGACGACCTTCTGTTCGACAATCGGTCACAGCACCGACGCTCTTCCTTCCCGCTCCGAACCTGTACATACCTTCTCGACACCGCTACCATGGATCAGGCCGATATTCCCGCGCTTCTGTCGCGCCTCGCGAGCGACGAGGACGCCGCCAGGAAAATGGCCGTCTTCAAGCTGCAGTCTTCTATAAACGACCCTGCCTTTGCCGACGTTTTCATATCCTCGGGAGGCCTGGTCATTCTACGACGCCTGATTATGAGTGCGGGAGGAAACACGTTGGCGTACTCGTTGCAGAGTTTGACGCGCCTACTGGAAGTAGACATGGGCTGGGAGATATTTGAGGGATCGTCGTCAGGGGATCTCGTGGAGCGTATTGTCGAATTGATCGTTACGAACCCTCTTGTCAACATTTTGCGCGGTGCTATGTCGATCCTGGTCGCCCTCGTCGGCCACACACAGTCTTCTCGCCCGACGACCCCTCGCACGCCGGGATCTTTTGGTTTCAGAGCCCTGAAGCCCGCCGTCGCAGTCTACCCGCAGTTCTTTGAGCTCGTTATCGCCCAGCTCCAGTCCGCCGACCACGCGCTGTGCGCCAATGCCCTCATGCTCATCAATGCCATGATCCGCGACGCTGTATCCAGCGACACCAACATCACGAAGGCGAACAACCCTGCGATGGAAGAGTGGTCAAAATTCATCAAGCGCTTGCAGGATCTCGGTCTTATCAAGGCAGTGTACAACCTGATGCAGAGCTCGTCACTACAGGATCTTGCGCATCCTCTGCTTGAGTTCCAGTCCTTGACTAAGGTTCTCCTGAGAAAGTGGCGGGAGGTGAGGGTTGACCTTGAGCGGCCCGAGCACAGGCGGGGACTGAAGGGACTTCACCTTGCCAGCAACCCAGAGAAGCAAGTCAATGGCATTCACCGGTTGGACGAGGTCAATGAGCTTGGGAAGAAGGGAAGCCGGCGTCACAACCCTGAGAAATGGAGGAGACTGGGCTTCGAAACCGAGAGTCCTACACAGGAGTTTGAGGTCCCTGGTTTCTTGGGCATGATGGACCTGACAGACTACGTGCGCAAGAACGAGGACAGCTTCCAGAAGATGCTTCTGGAACAATCCACAAAAGCAAGGAACGAAAGGTGCCCGGTCGCCAGGGCAAGTCTCGCAGTAACGATGATCCTATACGATCATTTCGAGGTGGAGAAGTCGGACGTTGAGGACATTAAGGGTTACCAAGGCTTGGACGGTATCAAAAACAACGAAAAGCTATTCCGTCCGCTCCTCCTCCAGTGGTCGCGACTCCACACGGCCGGCCTGCAGGCTTTCTTCCGCGTATGGAAGTCCACCGCTGCGGAGCACCTGGATTTCGAAAAGGTGGCAGAGCTGGTCCGAATTCTCATCGAGCAAGTTGTCGGCCAGGCAAGCCGGACCAAGGACGTGTTGGAGGTCGAGGAGGAGCTGCTTGAGTACGACTGCACCAGACTACGAGAGCTTCAGATGGAGCTTTTGGAACTGTCGTTTGAGGATCAGTGGGGTCAGCATTTATATCAAGTCCGAGAGGAGTTGAGGCAAGAGGCACTTCAGTTTGTGAAGGAGCAGCGGATCCGGTGTCTGCTCCAGGGATCTTGGTTCTCCAAGCCGCTACCACGGCGAGACACCAACCCTAGAGACGAGAACCTAAAGCGTCGTTTGTATACGCCGCGCCCTTGGCGGTTCGCTAAGCTGTCACACAATCGCCGGTACCTACACTACGCCGACTTCGAGGCACAAACAGCACAGGATCCGGGCCTTGACATTTTGACGGAAAAGGTCGATCTCAGCACCATCAGCTCAGTCGTGTCCAATGTGTCAGCCTCCAATGAGGAAAGCCGCAGCGCGACTAGTAGTTCGACGCTCAAGAACAACGTGACAGTCAAATCGACAACCAAGATCACCATTTTCAGCTACGCCAATCCCGCGGAAGCTGCCAACGGCGGCGATGCCAAGGAGCAGGCTATCCTGACTCTCAACCCGGTCTCGCACAGCCTGGCGTCGGAGTGGCTTGACGGTCTGTTGATGCTGCTCAACCAAGCCCCCATCACAGCCGAGACGAACAAGCTTGTGAACCTCGTGAGCGACTTTGGGCTCAAGATTAGGCTTCTCAATGTGAGAATCGAGGCTGCGTATACCGGGCCGCCACCAGGCGCCGGAGTGATACCTAGCAGGGACGGCCTCGACGAAGACTACTTCTACGACGTGTGAGAGATTTCGTATGACCGGGACGGTGAGGGCTCAGGTCATGGAATGGAGAGCGGTCCGAAATCGCTGTTTTTTCCCTTTGTGATGCTGGTTTTTTCTTTGGTGGCTTACATATACCCGCGTTTTCCTCTTGCTCTATACCGGCCAGAGATGTAACGAAATGGAGCCAAGACAGGGAAAAAAAACTCTTGATCAGTTGTTCTCTCTGGCTTGGCCGCCTACAATGAAGCATAGCGAGCGGTCCAGTTGCGTCGTTAGGTAATCATGGGAAGGAAAGGCTTGGATTTGGCAGGCGACGATTTTTCTTACAGTGGCGAGAATGCTACTATATATGGTGTACAGGTCTTTGGTGGGTTTGTTTAGCTGTGCTGGCAGGGCTTCTTTTCTTGTTCTCTCTCTTCATGTATGCTCATGCCTCTCGAGAGCTAGGTCTTGAAGACTTGCTCGAGTATATTCCAGACGTCAATACTACAACTCATGAACATATTCTCGTTGGGACAGGTGAAGGGAAGACCAAGTGTTTGAGTGCGCGTGATGTCTTGGGCTGCTGGGTTTTCACGATTCGTTGGACTTACACGCTTCTCTTGGCTTGAGATTGCGTACTGTTCCTTTTCAGCAATGTTGTAGGTCGGCATTATATTGTCAGATGGTCATGCTAGTGGTGGTTCTCTTGCCCACGGTTCCGCGCGACTATAGGTTGAGATGGAAGTCCCAATTACCCGATCTTCTCTGGTGCCGACTTTCTCTACAACGTGAATTCCTTGTGCCATTACTTTATAACTCCGCAAGGCAAGGAGTGATCAGGGAGCGAGCTCAACAGGCAAGTTCAAACCAGTTCTGTATTATCTCAAAGCTCGTGACCCGTACGCCTATCCATCTACGACCTCGCCAGCCTTTTCGAGGACCGGCTCTCCCATCCCGCCGCCCTCTCGAACCCATTCTTGTGGAAATAAAAGTCCTCGAGCGCTTGCCGGGCCTCTTGGCTGCTGGTCACCACAAACGGACCATGCTGCACGACAGGCTGGTCCAGGGGTTCACCCGCAATCAGAAGAATCCGCGCGCCAACAGTCGCCGTGTCCGGAACTCGCATCTGCACCGCGTCTCCCTCCACCCCGAACACGACAGCTTGGAACTGCTGTGCCTCCATCCGGTCGTCCTCGGTGGAGGAGCTGATCTGCGCAGATCCTTCGACGACGTACGCCATCGCGTTCCAGCCCTCAGGGACTTGCTGGGCTATCTCGCCGCCCGGTTGGATTTGAATGTCTAGGTACCATATCGGCGTATATGTTAGGTCCCTCACGCTATCGACACCTCCAGACACGCCCGAGATGACTTTCACAGAAACCCTCCCGTCGTCTAGTTTCGCGAGCGGGATCTCCGCAGCCTTGAGATCACGGTACCGCGGCTCGCACATCTTCAAGTGCCGCGGCAAATCCACCCACAACTGCAATCCCGCTCCACCACTCCCGTCCTCGGACGGGATCGGCTGCTCGGAGTGCATGATCCCCCTGCCGGCCGTCATGAACTGCAGGTCGCCGGCGTGCAAGATCCCCTTGTGGCCCGCAAAGTCCTCGTGCTCGACGGATCCCTTGAGGATGTAGGAGACGGTCTCCTGGCCCCGGTGGGGGTGGTCGGGGAAGCCTTCGCCGGTGGCGCCGTCCAGGTGGTCGAGCATGAGGAAGGGCGAAAAGGCGCGGAGGTGGTTGCTTCCGATGGAACGGCGGACGCGAGCGCCTGCGCCTTCGGGTTGCTCGGGGGCGGTGAAGATTTTGTGGACTGTTCGGAGGGTTGACATGATGTAGGTGTTGAAGTTCTATCAGAAAAGGGGAAGGTTTTCAAACACACGGATGTAGTATCAGTCGATGGAATGAATCATTTATGGAATTGTTCAGCTTGATTCTTGTCCGAAAGGCGAATGATACTTGTATGCGAGCTTCTCACGATCATGGCCAAAGTCGTGTAAGTGCCCTTCTGAGCCAGTGTCAATTGGCAAACGGTGGCACTTAGCTTATAAATCCTATCCACCTCACCTAACGCTTACGAATGCTTACAATATGCTCTTCCAATGCCATAATTCTTCATCAAAGGAGCGGATCAAGAAGCTATGAAGGAACTTTGTCGCATATGAGAAAAGAGTCTACAGGACGGACGAATTTGGACAGCGGACATTTGAAGAGTGCCGGAGGTGGTCCCGCGCGGGATCTCCAGGCTAATGTGCAATAGTGGAGCACGGCGGCAAGATCACTATTTAGAAACTGGGGTTTGAGGATCCCAGCCGCGCGGGACGGTTCTTAAAGTATTCCTCATCCGTGGGCTAGCAGTGAGTACAGATATAAGTGCGTGCTATGTTTTTATTCCTGATCATCTTGGATAGTGCTGTGAGTCTTTCTCAATAACAAGTTTGAGGTTGGCTGGTTGTTAGAGGGTTGGGGGCCTTGACTTCGGGCGTTTGGCTGGCGGCGCGCAGTCAATGTAGTCAAAATTGATATCGCTGCATCTGATTCGAAATGCTAAATCACCAGAGGTGTCACCAGACTCAAGTTCCTAGACCTATCTTGCCGACAGGGATTTCAGAGTATTCGTAGGGCTGGGGAAGCTTCTATCCTATCCACCACCCCCGGCGGCCCCAGACAATGGCCCCCAATATCCACCCCTGCTCTGTTGGCTTCCCAGCCCCTCAATATCGGAGCTTCAGCCGCGGGGCAGTTTCCCAAACTAAACCTCAACCCCCCCTCGAGATATACGAAATATCGATTACCTGCAACTCGAGACTACGAACGCTTCAGCCGTTGTGAGGTGGAGAACCATACACAACAGTATCAAACCTGGATTCGACATTGAAAGTTTTTGATCAGGATCAGAGACAAAGTAAACAAAAAAAGGGTTCAATGTCCCAAGTATGACATCACCCTCCCGCACCTACCGCCCTTGAAACTAAAGCTTCCCCGACAACCACGGACCAACGTTCTTTCTCCCCCCCTCCGGACAACGCACATGGTCCGCCGCCTCCCGTGGACGCATCCACACCTTAAAGTCGGCCACGCCGTCGAGAGCAAAACTCAACCAAAATCCAGGAAGCGGGCTACGTCTACGGCCATCGCTACCGCTACCACCCCCATCATCGATACCGGAACCCGCGATATCAGCAGTTACTTCACAGCTACGAGGAAAATGAGCTACCGGACCCCGCGCCGCGGCGGCGGCCGACGGCTAATGTATAATAGCGGCGGCGGCAGCAGCAGGACGACGACCCCCTATACACCCAATCGCGGCGGCGGCAGGACATATTCCCCCTCGCCCCCTCCTTCGCAAAAGAAGCGTCTCGATGGGCTCTTCCTCGAAGGAAACTGGTACTGCAACTGCCAGCCGCGAAACACGGCCAAATTCCTACAGGTCAGCAAGAACACGGCCAACAAGGGTCGGTGGTTCTACACGTGCGAGAAGCGGCGCGGCGGCTGCAACTTCTTTCTATGGGCCGAGGACGCGGAGAACAGGGCCGAGGGGTCGACCATGACGTTGCCGCCCATGCCGCAGGATGGTGCTGCTGCTGCTGCTGCTACTGCAACGCCTCGTCGGGCGACTAGCCAGACTCCAGGTAGTTTCACGCCGGGTACGGCTTCCACTATCAAACCCTCTGCGATGAGAGCGGCGGCGGCGGCTTCTTCAACGGCAACGATGGAACCGCCGTCGTCGCCTACGGCGCAGAGAAGCGCCGCCAAGCAAAAGTTCATGGACACCTACTTCAAGAACAGACCCGTCCAGGTACCCGCGGAAGAAGAGCCAAACGATCTCATGGTCACGGACGAAGAAGCCGAGCTCCACGCGACACCCGCGCAGAGAAAGAGGAAGAGAGTCCTCTTCGACTTTGACTCTGACGACGGCAACGGAGAAGAAGCACAGGGGCAGGGGCGAGGAGGAGCCGGGACCGACGACTACGGTCTCGACGACGACGTCTCCTCGGACGAGGAGAGGGCCATGACCGAGGCCATGGAACGCAGCGCCAAGAAGCTTCGCATCGAGGATAGTGGTGTTGGTGGTGGTGGTGCGCCTTCCACGCCCGCTGCGCAGCGTACGGTGCATGGCGGTGCGCTGCCTACGCCGCAGACAGTCAGCCGAACCCTCTTCCCCGACGCGAAACGCCGCAAGGTCGGCGAGGACGTCGTCGGGGAGATCTCCCCAGGCAATGTCTCCTTTTCGACGAGCACCTCGTCAGCGACGCTCGGACGCTCAACAGCAGGAGCGGGAACCGTGCCCCCTTCCTCCTCGCCGCCAACCTCGACCCCGCAAGAAGAGCAGCTCGATCCAACAGAGGAAGTCATGGCCCTGCTCCACCAGGGTCAAAACGGCGTGGACGCCGCCGCCGTCAGAGCCGTGCTGGGCCGGTTCGCGATGAAGGCCAAGGGGCTGGCGCGGGGCCGGGACACGGTGCGGACGGCGCTCAAGGCCAAGGACGAGAAGATTGCGGAGTTGCAGGAACGGGTCGCGAATCTGGAGGCGCGGGCGAGGACGCAGAGAGAGCAGATTGCGGATTTCAAGGCTGGCATGATGGATTTGTATTCGAAGCATTGAGGGCGTCTCTCCGCTTCTCTCGGACAACGTCCCTCCTTGCTTTGGAGTGTGTTTGGTGTTTCGTTATTGTTGATTCAGGCGGTCTAGGAGGGAAGGAAGAGAGGCTCCGGATGGAGACTCGGGTATGGAGAGCCATCTACCCCGTGAGATGGGCTAGTGATCCATTCTCCCAAGGTTGGACGAAGATGGGCTATGATGGAGTTTGGAATTGAGGATACCCCCCCGCTCGCACGCCCTTCTGTTATGGTTCACTGGTAGTAAGTAGATAGCAACTATCAAGAAGATGATTTCTCATTCTCAGTGCACCTTCTTTCCGTTTAAAAACCCCTTTTCTGTGATGAGGGTGTACTCCCATCGAGATTGGCACCGTCACATGAATCGGCTTTCGGTTGTTATAGAACACACTATAGTCCTCGTTGTTTGAGTACATGACTTCCCTCCAGAATGCTAGCTAAATGAAGTTATGTGTACTGACGTTATTGCTCCCGCATATGCTGAAGTATCATCAACTCTAGTCTCGCCTCTCTCAAGTATCGAACGAATGGCAGACAAAGAAACGGAGAGTTCTGGCAAACCTCGGGAAAATCGAAGAATAATGTCACAACACTCAATGAAAAGTATAAATCTCGTCAACTGATTCAAAATAATTCAGGTATTGTAGACGCGAAAAGCCATTAAACGCCAGGGTTTATGCGGCTTGATACCCTCAAATGTGCCAAACCCATGAAACCTGTCCCAGCCGACCAAACCACCCATGTATGTGAACCCAAGTTACGAGCCAGGGGATATCATGCTTTCTCTAAAAGCTTACTGGGCAAGAACCTCGCGCAACATGACAAGGAAGTTATCCTTGAGCTTGTGAACCTCGGACACGGGCGGCTTGGCCGGCTCGCCGGCGCTCCGACGGAGTCTATCGCGTCTCTTGGCCCGGCGGCGGCGCTCGGCCTCGATAGGGTCGAGCTCGTCCTCCTCCTCCGCCTCGTCTTCCTCATCCCCGTCCTCGTCGTCATACGCCATGTCCTCCAAGTCCATCTGATCGAGGCCAAAGTCGGAAGAAGAGAAACCAGTGGGTACCAAGTCGGGACCTCCATTTCCTTCGGCCGCCATCTTTTGTCTCGTCTTGTCGTGATGCCACTTCTTCCTGGCTTCTTGCCATGCAATGAGTTGGTTAACCTCATCGATGACCCTGGCCTTATCGATGGCACCGGAGCTAACACCTCCCTCGAAGAGCGCATTGACATTCAAGGTGCCGTTTTTGGGACCCTTCCTCAAGAACTCCAAAATGTCCTCAATCCAGCCCATCAGCTGATCAAACAAACCGTTGTCGTGTGTGTGGACCTCGTGCACAAACTTGTAGAAGTTGTGCTCATGTCTCTGGCAGAGATCAATGAAGGCCTGGACGGTCTGGTTCGGGTCCGCCGATGCGTCCTGCTCCTGGCATTTCTCAACAACCTACATTGCATGTTAGTGCTGTTGCAGTAGATTTTCACGAGACTGCCTACCTGAATCATGTCGTCAATGAACACAGCAAAGTCCGTGACACTGCTGTAAACATTTGCCGACTTGTAGACCCGAACAAGGGGTTCGTAGAAGATGCTGAAGAGATCTCTGAAAAGCTGAAGTGTGACCGGCTGCTCCACCAACTGCAACATCATGGCCTTGTCATGCTGTCTTGTGCAAAGCTTCAGGTACTGCTTGAGGTACGAGAACAGCTGAGCACCCTGCTTCAACTCCTCGTCAATGTTCTCAACAGCGTTGTTGAAAGCGACGTAGGCGTTGTAGAGTCGGCCAATCTGTTCCGAGGTGAGACCAGGCTCAAGGTAATCCGAGCGGAGGATCACGACAATCAAGTCAATATCTTCAGCAGTCGCTTCCTCCCTAATTGCGAGTTTGATGTGCTCCTCGGCTTCGGTATACATCTTCAGCTTGCCAGTAAAGGCCGCATCGCCGATCTTAGCGCCGAGCGTGTCGATAGACTTTTGGAAGCTCTTGATGCCGTCATTGAGGGTCAATGAGAAGATGCGCTGAAGAAGAGATCGGGTGCCGAAAGGTTGCGCCAGGAACACGTCCAAGACACCGGACATGACAGCAGCCGGGTTCGCAATCCTGATAACGTTCTTGATGACGGTGTAAGGAATGAGCGAGTGGATCCTCTTGGCTTGGGCGAAAAGCTCGGGAGAATTGTCTTCTGCAAGGAACAGGTGGTAAATCGTAGCTGCGACCTCT